AGAATTGTTTTCACAATAATTATTTAAGGGTTACTTTGGCCTGTTAGAATCATAAAGATGTTGACTAAAGAGTATGAATAGACTCAGTAAACAGCAATTCAATAGTTCTTCCGAGTTAGAATTAAGTACATTTATTAATGGAGATATATTTAATATTCATTACAGTCACTTCCCATTTCCCATGTAGAGGAGACAATTATATTTATTAATTGAAATGTTTGGAACTGAAAATCATCATCAACACCATCATTATAAAGTACATATATTTATTCCAGGACATTCTCTCCTCCCTCTCTCTCTCTCTCTCTCTCTCTCTCTCTCTCTCTCTCTCTCTCTCTCTCTCTCTATATATATATATATATATATATATATATATATATATATATATATATATATATATATAAAAACATTAAGTTTGTTGGTACATTACCAATGACTGCCGAATTGCAATCTAAACGCTCAATTCAAGGGAAATATAACAATCATCAAAAGCATTTCTGCATTCCTGAATTCATTTTATCAGCATCTGTGATTTATTATCTGACCTGGAGCCCAATAAAGCAACAGGAATGTCCCAACTGAGGATAAGAAAGATGGATGGAAGTATCCTATGCATGGAATCCTATTACAAATAATATGTTAATACTTTGTGTGTGAGAGGAGGGAAAAGAACTTGTCTGTTGCTCCTCTTAACTACCCCAATCCATAAACCAGTTAATTCAAAGGATATACAAGGGATTTCCCTAAGTCTATGGAAACACACCTTCAAATGTATCTACCATTCATGCCTTGCAGTCAGGAACATTCAGCGATAAGCAAGAGCGAAGAAAAGCCAGGAGAACTGATTAAATAGGAAGAATGCTGGTTCAGACAGGCTAAGCTGACTGTTCTAACATTTCGTGGGGACAGTGACATCAATGTTGCATCAGATCCATAACTTCACACAATACTTTCTTCCAGTTTCCAGATATAAACAATAGAATTAACTAATAGGATTAGTTCTGAATTATAGGATGACCGGTGTTCGTTATAATGGTTGTCTCCAATAAAAGGAGAAAGAGAAAGAGATGCAGGAAGAAAGGAAGTTGATCTTCCAATAAATACACAACCCCTTCCCCCCCCTCCTGATCCTAATTTTAATAGGCAAAAGAAATTCTGTTGTAATCGATATGGACTTCTTTCAGATGCTAATACAATCGACATTAAATTTGTCAATGAATATGAGGTTAGAAGACATTGCTTATACCCACAAAGAGACACACACTTAATTTTTCCAGTTTCCACCCATTTAATGATCCTTTTGCTCTAAGTCTGGACATAGCATACCAATAGGGCGATAGTCCTGCCTTGGGATACGAACTTCTGTCTTACACCAAGCATGCTAAAACGGTGATAAGGAGAGGGAGGGGGGAAAGAGAGAGAAGTAAACAGCCTTTTTAAAGGAGCACTTTATGCTGAGCGATTTTGCTTTCCATAAACTGTGTGTTCCAGACAAGAAAAGAAAAATGTAGGCATGATTAATTAACTAAATGTTCTAGAGATAACAAAGCAGCCTAAAAAATGACAGACTGCAGAATGCAGATAGGACAGGAAGGATTTATAATCAGCTTTAATGTGAATTTTTGCAATTAAAACCTGGTTGGAAACAGTTTAACTTATTTAAACAGTTTAATTTATTTACAGCCTATGCCTCTTTGCCGGATATTATCTGTTAGAATCCAATTTTTGCAACAGAAGTTGCCCTATTAACACTTTTTTAACTTGCCACGATTTCTCCCATTCTGAAAGGTTGGTATTTTTACCCTTCTCTTGTAAAAGTAACACACTGGTTTATTAAGGTGGGAGATGTTTTGTCTGCTAAATTTAGCTCTGATCAAACTGTATGATCTTTTGAATGCAAGCCTTTGTATTTGGCAAATTTCAGACAAGAAAAGGGATGTGAGAAGGACTGATAGCACCGAAAGCCTAGCTAGCTATTTGGGGTTTGTTCTCAATACAGTACAAATATTTTTTGGAAGATCTGTATCTCCATCCGAATCCCAAACCCACGAAGTACAGTACGGTCGGTCGACAGGGGAGCCCCGCTTCTAACTGTCCCCCCGAGAAAGAATTCAGTCTCATTGATGACAATGGGATTCGAACTCTTACAGAGGACCAAGCACAGATTCGATTCAGACGGATATCCTATCGATTCCAAGCCTATTTACGGGGTCCCATTGAAAAAAAAAAGATTGGGGGCCTCGAGCTAATAGCTTAAGCACTATTTCATGATAGGACTAGCCAGCCTTGAGACGCTTTTTCCAACAGGCTAAATTAGGCTTTTTCTTGGAAGCAAGTTGATCTGACTCGGCGTTGGAAATTAAATGCCAAGGTGAGTCATCGGAATGCAGCCACCGGGACCAAATCTCCACTGAGCAAAGGAAAGCCAAGGTCTGCTAAAGCAAACCCGTTAAGTACTGTTAAGATTGCACTTCTCGCTGGTCTCTTAACTAGATTTTCTTGGACCTACACCGTTTTCATTCGCATTTCCTTCGGAATGCCCGTCTTTCAAAGAGACAATCACATCCGGTTTGTTTTGGTTCAAACAGTGCAACGAAGGAAGGGAAGGGATCAATAAAAGCAGACTTCCCAAAACTTTCACGGGAGGCACCGCTCTCATTTCACAGAGCACAGAAAACCCAAAACCGCTTTAGAGGAGATTCTCAGGAAAGAGCGCTAGGTGCGTAGAGTCTTCTTTCGCCCTTGGGTTAATTCTCCTGGGTCACGAAACCATCCATAGTACCGACGTTCTTGGGATATAAGCAGCTCATGAAGGGCTGGGGTGAAACGGATCGACACCATCCCTGTATTAGACGGGTGAGGTTTCTTTCCAAATAGGAAGGTGTATTCATCTAAGAAGTGCCGAATTTCGACAAGGGGATAAACTTTTGGCATCCCACAAATTGTCTGGTCCTCATAGATAGTTCGCCCGCCTACAGCATCCCTTCCTCCGCCTTTCTTACCTATAGAAGAGCCTTTATTCCCAATTCCAAGAGACCTGAGCCTTGGGCAACATTGCTTAAGGCGTGAGTCTCACCGACGTGAGCCTGGGAGGAAAAGCACTGCTCGTTAAATGTGAGGAAAGCATAGACTTGATGGAAACTCGTGTTCTGGCTCCAGAGAGAAACTTGACCATGGGAACCGGGGAAAGCCTGAAGTGAACACCTCTTAGTTAAAATGCTGGGGGTGGGGGGAGTGGAGGAGTGGGGGCTCCTATTGAAAGCAACAGTGGCAGGGACTGACCTATTGTAGAAATTGTCAGCGCTGGCCCGATTTCATTAAATAACTTCTTAGGGGTTGAACAAGGTTAGGGGGCAGGTGTGCGTGAAGACATGGGGGGAGGCGTCCTCTGCAGCCCCACTGCCATATTCTAGCCTTATGTCCAGCCTTCACCCTTCAGACCGTGGGAAGTCTGGTCTCGCCGCGTCACTTTCAACAGCTTCATATTTTACATAATACCCCTCCTGCGTAACAGACATGCGTACCAGGACTTTGGTTAAACTTATAAGGACCGTCTCACAAACGCCGGTAAAGTTTTAGAACCCCCCCCCCAAACCAATCAGAAGGAGAAAGGAGCCGGCATTGGTTTTGGCATTTGCTCTGAAAGCGAAATGTCACCTTTGCCTCCGCTCTTAAGCAAAGTTCCCCTCTTTGGTTATATAACCCTGGGCGCTGCAAATTCAGATCCACGCCGGAAAAAGTTTTCGAGGAAGGCGTAAGGTTGTCACTTCCCCCCCCCCCCCGCCCCAAGAAAGTCGCACCGCTTGTTAGCACCCGCTTTCACGCGCTTGTTTTCGTGCTTCGAAAACCTAAGCTACTCTTACCGTAACTTCTCTCCCCCCCCCCCACCCCACCCTAACCAAAAGTGAGAATAAAGCTAAAGCTTTCGAAGAACGGGAAAAGTGCCGCTGAACTTGAAGGCGCCACGCGGCTGCTGTTCTCGCTCCGTAGCCCGGAGGAATCATCTTTCTTCCCCTATTGTGACTATCAGGGAGATCCCGAGAAGCTCTTCCGATTCCCTTGAACTTTGCTGGACTTCCAGACCTTGCAGAGCTCAGCCTCGGGCGAATGTCATGGGACTTCGTCGAACCCCCACCAAAATTCAGCTCATTTTAATTCCTCCACCCCTCATTTGCCAAGTGTCTTTCCACCCAGGGGTGTCAGCCAAAGGTCAGCTCTACGCAGCGGTTGGGTTCACTTCCCCATAGATCCTAGAAGGGGCGGCGCGGGGGGTGGTAGTAGGTGGTGGTAGACAAGGTGAAATTCAAATCAGGCTTACCCTTAAACGCCTATAAATTTCAATCAGCCTCATAGTTTAATATCAGCTATGCGCTCGGAAACCATTTATGACAATAATGTAAAACGGCGCCTCGGGCTGCGAAACGCTAAGTGAAGACCGTGTTGTAAATGCGTGTTAAAAAGTTGCACGGGTTTGTTTCCGCCATAATAATTATTAAACTGATGGGTTGTCTTCGAGGGAACTTTTGACATGAGATTTCCAATCACTCCGCAATGCTAACCCGATGATATCTCAGAGCCCTCCGTGGCTGGCAGCTGCCTCTTTTATATCACGGAAGAGCCGTTGCAAACAGCAAATATGAAGGTTAAGGCTTTAAAAACAAGCGCTCGGCTCTCCTCGACGCGGACGTTAAACAGCTGCCACGATCGCAACAGCGGCGGCCCGGTTGCCAACCGGCTTCAGGGTTTGCGTGTCCCGAAGTCCGTCCCAGCCAGCCAAATAGGCGACCGTGCTGATTTCTATTGAGATTTCAGACGCCACCCTAGTTTAACTCGGGAGCTGCCTTTGACGCGAAACGACACGGGTGCTGGGCAGGCTCTGTTCGGTATCAAAACACGCGCGCACGCACGCAGCCAAACCACCCACACTTCTACGAGGTACACGCCGCGCAGCCCGCTCGGCGGCGGCACCATCTTTGCAAATGGACCGGCGTCCCACTTACCAAAAACTGGAGGTGTAGTAGGTTTTCGGCAAAAGCCCGCCAGTGGGATTGAAGGACTGAATAACTGAAGGAAAAGTTGGACGAGGAATGTTTCCCCCCCCCCTTTTTTTTTTTTTTTTTTTTTTATAAAGAAGCTAGGAGGAAGTGAGAGCACAGCGCTGCCTTGCTCTTTCTGGCCGCCGCCACCGGAACAATGATCTGAGAGTTAAGAGAGCAAGACCGTGCCAGATCTTTAGACAGAGAGAGAGAGAGGAAGCTGGAGCGGGGGAGAGAGAGAGAGACGGGGGAGATTAAACTCGGGGCCAAATCTCAGTTTCGCATTCCCTCCAGCTAACCAAAAGGGTTAATGCTGGGGGGGGGTTGGTTGGTTTGGAGGGCAAGCCGAGCGAAGGAAAGACGGAAATAACCCCTGACAATGCAATAAAATAGCATTTTGTGTAGACAAAAATCTTTCCAAGCTGTCCCGATACGTTGGGTGTATTTGTGGCGAGCTGGGTGGGTTTTGTTTTGTTTTGTTTTTACTTTTATTCCCTAAGAAAACGAGAGAGAGGGAGGCAGCTTATTCGAATAGGCTGGCCAGCCAACGGGGAAGGGGGGAGTGTGCAAACCCTCCAAGGGGTATGTGGGGTGGCTTCCCCGCATTTGTACGTGCGTGGATCAACCTGTTGCCCGTGCTTTTTTTCTTTAAAAAAAATTGTTTTCTCCTCAAGGAAAAGATCTCTAAACCGCTTTCTTTTGAGAAAAAAAAAATTCACCTGGGAAAGTGGAGCGGAGGGTAAACAGGAGCTTTAGTAAGTGCAAATAAAGGATGCGGGCTGGCAGTAGTATTTAGAGCACGCAGGGATTGTAAACAAAGTCGGAAAGGAAAGAGGATCAACAATGGTGGAGCCGGATGTTTTTCTCGCCCACCTTTTGAACGAAATAAATCCGTCGGAGGCTGACCGGTCACGTGATCAAGGGAGGGGGGGGAAATGTGAAAGCAAGCGCGCGCGCGCGCCTCTGCGTTTCAATTCCGCTTTTCAAAAGTCACCAATCTTCCTTCAGCCTTCTCCGCGAAATAATACATTATATGCTCGCCAGATTGTAGGGCTATAATCAATCTGTTAGGAGATGCACTTTAAAAAGAGGGAAAGAAGAAAAGAAAAAAAAAAAAAAGCCCAGGCCAATTATTATTATTTTTTTTCATTTCTTCAACACGATATTTAAAGGAGAGAAAGTGGTTCTTTTAAGTTAAGATCCAATAATTCATACAAATCTTTTACCTAGAAACCTCGCTTTAGCGCCTCTCTTTACGTTTAAGAGGCAGGGAGGGAAGTTTCTAAGGACGTCAAAAGGGAAAGCGAGTGGTCAGAAAGGAGTGTGTTTGTTTGGTTTATTTGAGAGGGGGGGAAATCTAGATTTTTTCTGAATTAATTCAGAGAGTGTCTGATTATTTGCCATAAAAGAAGAGAGGGAGGGGGAAAAAAGCGGGGGAGAAAGAAAGTCTGGGCATTCGCCAGCCGTGGTTAAACCTTGTAAAAGAGAGTTGGGTCTCGTCTTAAGGCCCCATTCACAATGCTGAAGGCGAAGGACTAGTCGGAGCAGGATGAGCAGCCCCTGAGCCATCGGGGAACGTTTGGAGGAGGGCCACTGAAGCCGAAAATGAACGGTGTTTTCGGACGGCGAAAAAGTCAGGCTGCGCTACTGCCCTAAAGTTGGCGGGAGAGCGCCCGCACCCCGCATTACCCCCCAACCGAAGAGCCTTGGTGGCTCAGCAGACTAAAGTGCTGTTAAGTAGCACCAGCTGCCTGCAATTACTGCAAATTCGAATCTCACCAGGCTCAAGGTTGACTCAGCCTTCCATCCTTTCGAGGTAGGTAAAATGAGGACCCGAATTGTGGGGGCAATAAGCTGACTTTGTATAAAAAAGAACACCGCTGTGGGGGGGGGGCGAAAGCCCTACTAAGCAGGTATATACAAAAGTATGAAGGCTATTGCTTAACGCATTGTAAGCCGCCCTGAGTCTCCGGAGAAAGGGCGGCATATAAATCGAACCAATAAATAAAAATAAATAAACTACGAGAAACTGAAGCAATCCTGAGAAACAGCTCCTCCAGTCAGTGCCCTCTTATGACTTCAGTGGGTCGGGGTAGGTTGAAATCCAAGACCCTTTTTTTTGTTTTGTTTTTGCCTGAGTGGCGAGGCTGCTAAACATAGACGTGTCCGAGGCGGGGTAACCTGCAGGGCGATTTCCTGCTCCTAAACAAAGGCTTAGAAAACAAGATTGCATTACAGGCGCACATGCACCACACGTTAACCGGTCAGAAAATACGCAAGCCTTTTTTCGGTCGTCATAATGGCGTTTGTTGTTATCAGTATTTCCTTTCCTTTTTCTTTTTTTTCCCTTTTTTTTTAAAATTTGATTTATATGTCGCCCTTCTCCGGAGACTCAGGGCGGCTTACAATGCGTTAAGCAATAGCCTTCATACTTTTGTATATTTTATACAAAGTCAGCTTATTGCCCCCACAAACTGGGTCCTCATTTCACCTACCTTAGAAAGGATGGAAGGCTGAGTCAAACCCCACCCCCCCTTGAGGATTTCCAAACTCTCTTCCATCAAGGGATCTCTGGCTCCCTTCTAGAGTTCCACATTCGGGAGGCCCGTCCTAGTTTGCCCAAGTTTCTCTTGCCATTCAGACGACCAGACGAACCTGGGTAAGGAAACAAGGGTGGGGGGAGGAGGGAATGGGCCTGGAGCTGGTCGCCTGCATCAATGAGAGCAAGTCGAGGCAAAGGGATGAAGGTTCGGGAATGCCTCGATTTCTCCTGCGTGTTTTGCCATTCTAATACCTCGGAAAGCCTTTCGACGGAGCAGAGTCAGACCTATTTTTTAAAAAAAACCTTTGCAATACTGAAGGGCCCTCTTTGAAAGATCCCTTCAACTATATAGCAGGAAAAAGGAGGTGTGGGGATCAAAGCGGAGGCGGTCCGGCAGGGAAACCAGAGCGGAGCCCTCCGAAGAGATCCCTTCCGGGCCTGAATGACTGGATCTTCCTAATGCGATAGAAATCATTGGCTAAGCGAAGGGAGGGGAAACACGTGAAAGCCCGAAACCAGCGTCGTCCTAACGAGCTGCTTGAGAACCGCGCTGCTGCTGCTGTCATCGTAGGGAGCCTCGTCTTTCCCTCCCGCCTCCCCGCCACTCGGCGTTGTTTGCTAGGAGCCCGCAAGGTTTTGCTGAACCTTCTGCTGAGCCTCGTCGGCCCTACGATCTCACTTAAACCACCGCCCGATATCGGGAAAACAAGCACGTGCATATATTCTCCCTCACCCCCCACCCCCCACTCCTCACCCACCCACCCACCCACCCCCAACGCAACTGTTTCGGGAGCCACGCCAGCGGTTTCGCGATGATTTAGGCTCTGTGCGGTTACCTTCTCCCAGACAGTTTAGGAAGTGCTGAGTTATAAATATTCAACAGCACGTGGAAGCTCTGCCCAGGGGTGGGAGACGCGCATGCGCGGCGCACCCGAACTCTAGCCCCGAGTAGTGTGTGCGCGTACTTAAAAGCGAGAGAACCTGGCTGCTCTGTGCCATTGGAGAAGTCTGGCGGATCCTCGGTGCGGCCAAAAAAAGAAAAAAGGAGAGAGAGAGAGAGAAAAAAAGAAGCAGAGTGAGGCTTCTGAGCATGCGGTCTTATCTCTTTTTTCCCAAGAATCCTCCTCATAAACGGAAAAAGGGGAAACCTCTTTGGCCTTCCCAGATTTCTTTTGTTTTCCTTTCGGTTCCTTTATTGGCCAAAGAGCCAATCTGGAAAATCTGCAGACGGCTTTGCGCAAAAAGAGAGTTGGTGTGGGTTTTTGTTTTTTCTTTTCTTTTCTTTTCTTTTTTTTCTTTTTGGTCGTTTCGTTTCATGCGATTTCTTGCTTTTTTCTTTTTTCTTTTTTTCTGTAGCCATCCCCTTCGGCTCCACGTACACCCACGAAAAGCAAGCCCTCTCTTTCCCGCAAACGCGCGCGCGCGTCCCCAGGAAACAACGGAACGGGAGTGACTTGCGCTAAAAATAAATTTAAAGAGGAGGGAGGGGGCTTCTAGAAATTCGATGGAAGAAAGAGGTTATTTAAATGTAAACATTCGAGGTGGGTGTGTGCGGGACAGTCCTGCCTACGACGTACTGGTGCAATTGTTTACTAAAGACCCTAACGTTGAATACACGTAAGCCCTACAAGAAATTCGTAGTAAACACACGCTTAAGATTCTCACCGATACAAGTGCGGCTTCCAAAGGGCTTAATTTTGCTCGCCGGTGCCTAGCAAACTTTCCATTTCTGTGTATTTCAGACCGGCTTGGTGCTGCTGTTTCACAAGTGAGAATTGCCATAGACACAAAGATCTCTTGCCTGTGCTGATTCTCCTAAGATATCTGCATAAAATGTGTGTGTTTTGTACACGTATATTGCAATTAACTTGATTTACTATTATTCCAAAGCCCCCTTTCCAATAGGGCCGTCATCTGGAAACTTCATGCTATTTTATTTTAGCATTCTAAAACTGAAATAAATGTTACCAATTGATGACAGCTTCCAGCTGCATGGTAAAAATAGCCCTCTAGTTTCACATGATCGTGTTTCTTATTAAGCAAAGATGCAGCAGATCTGAATTACAGAGCCTAGGAGAAAGGGACAGACTTAACACTGATTTTTATCATGTCAAAGGATTGCATATATGCATGCACACACATGCATAGGCACATTCAGCAATAAATAGAGATGGCTCAATTCTGATCATTTATTTTATGTTGATACCTTCAAGCATACCTAGAGTTAAGTTAAAAATGTGTGCAAACTGTATAGCCACCATTGTGGCAAATGTCTGGGATAGACAGATTTGGAATGAGAAACAAAAATGAGAAGAGAAATGTATTTCATAGTGCATGGGAAATATCATGCACTATGAAATACACAGAAAAAATGTAAAAGCTTCTTAGAAAAAAATTAACATGTAACTTTGTGACCAAGAATGTGCTGCTGACTCCTTAAATGGTTGCATTATCTGCATGTTATTTTTAAATGTACCCCACTGTATTGCAAAAAAAAAAAAGGCATATGTGTGTATATGCACACCTGCACACACACAAAATAAGAGCATGAGGTAATATAGGAAATCTGTCTGAATAAATCATGACTTCTTATGATGGTTGCCTTCTTTAAACCAGTGATCTTATTCCCACAAAAATCCTTTCTCTAGGATTGACCAGGATTGTTTTTGCTAGCCAGGCCTAATCCCACATTGTTTGGTGGCTTTATTGTCTTATCTTCTGCTGTGCCCATCTTGAAGATGCTGGAGCTTTCTCTTTACTTTGCCTTCTCCTTTGCTGCCAATAAAAGAATGTCTCCAGACCTTCCTTTGTTGCCTCCTCAATGCAAGTTATATCTATTCAAATATGTGTAAAAAATACTGGTATGGGTTGGGGGTTCATGCATATACACACACACCGATTCGCATGGCTAAGTGCGAACAAATTTGCAAAATAAGTAGAGTAATAATCCTGTATGTTGTGGCTATATCAATAGGTACATTAATATAGGTGAACAAGATGTGATGAAAAAGTTCTGTTCACTTGCATTAAAAATGCTTTACTTTCTTCTAAAAGGCACCAACTGTTGTACCAGAACTAGAAATCACTCCTTAATTTACATCGTTTAGTAATTTGTTTGAAAATGATGGTTCGTGTTTCGTTTCCATTCCCCGTGACCCCTTTTCTTTTTCCTTTTCAATTAGGAATCAGAAAAGCCTCTGACATGAATTCTTTTCTATCCAAATACTAAGCAGTTATTCAAGAATAAATCTGTTGAGAGGCAGTGGGGGAAAGAGCAAATATTCAGTGAGATTTCCATGAACATTCAAACATGCAATTTCACTTTCCATCCACGAGTGAAATCCTAAGGGGAAGTCACGTTTTCACATTATTTAAGATCCAGGTGTAAATGCTCACAAAGACAAAACAAAATCTTGTTGCTCAACTTATTAAATCTGCCAAAAAAAAAAAAGTTAGTTACTCCCAATATGATAACATCTACTATTTTCAATATTCCCGCATGTTCTAACCATCAAATCAGTTTTTTTTGGTTTGTTTGTTTGTTTTTTGAAGTACAGCTAAACCTTAAAAGAATAGTTTGAGATCTACTCTTAAATCACATTAACTATGAATACTTTCTAGGCGTTTCATCCGTTTTTAAGCGATTTAGATATTTTTGACGTTATGGAATTGGTTTTCTATAGACAAAGGGTCCGGTTTTTTTTTTTTTTTTTAAAGGAGTGGGAAGACTTGATAGGATTGCGGGAAATGTAATTCGGTACCCAATTGGTCTCTGCAATGTTAGGATCCACGGCTGCTGTGGTCAGGTGTTTGTGTTCCGATGACTTCCTTGCTGCGAAGTAAGGTTTCTAAACTCTGAGCGGTGATCCCACGCCCTTCCCTCCCCCACTTTTTAAAGGAACTTTGCGTCCTGTTTGGGATCGCCCAGAAAAACCAACGCAGTTACGGCTGTTATCCAGATACCCTTTGCAAGGAATCTGGGTGGTGGTCGAAGACTCTTCCTTTGCTTGAAACCCCCCCCCCCGTCCTTGTCCTTCGCAGGGGGTGAAAAGGCTACATACAGCAAAGTAGCAGCAGCAGAGAAGGCGTCTTGAGCTGCAGGCGACGGCCTTCGTAATCCAAAAGAGGCGACTCCGCGCGCTCCAGCAGCTCGCTTGTGCATTGTCTGAGCCTCCCTCTAAACAGACGCTAGCAATTCATATTTCTCAACCAGCGTTTCCCGTCTTTCTAGACCTAATAGCCCATGAAGAAAAGTGTGGAAAAATACATCTCGCAAAGCCATTAAAAGTACCCGCGCAATGACAGACGGTGCAGAAGTTTTAAATGGCCGTTTAATGCAAACTCTCCATAGCACCCTTAAAGCGAGCCTTTAAAATAAGGATGGGGAAGAAAAGGATGTCGTTGAAGGTGATGATTTTAGCCAGGTACTGATTTCTTACATCAAGGCAAAGTTAATTAAGCACGCATATAAGGAACAACAGTATCTTATTTTATACAATAAAGTGTGTATGTGTGTGTGTGTGTTTGTAAACACAGATGCATGCTCATATACACACATGTCTGTATGCATAAATATAAAAAAACCTGTTCAGATCTAAAAACATAAAAGTGCCATATAATTTTTACACATGCTGTACTTTCTCCTCAGGTCTCTCTGGATTGTATAGAAGAAGGAGAAGAATGGCTAACTGCTGATTTTGAGAAGCCTCTTAAACCAGTTGATTAAAAAAAAATATTTTAAAACACACATCACACAACCACACAAACCTTAAATAGAATGTAGTGGAAACCATGTTCTAATCAACTGGCTAAAATACTCTTACGAGTACTCCCAAAATTCAGATAAAACCACTGTTCCTGAACCCACGCAACAAGGAAGGAAAAAGGCTGAGAAGTGCACAGCTCACCCCCCCACCCCCCCAAAAAAAGTTGCATTCCTCTTTTAAATGTTATCTAAGCATGAATCAATCAACCCTTTTTTTAAAAAAAAAAATCTAGGTGAGTATTCAGAGTGTGGGTAGGGAGGAGATCGCTATACCCACTGGCTCCTTTAAAAAAAAAAAAAACCATAATTATTTTCCTTTAAAAAAGAAAAGAGCATTATGCCCAGTACAAAACGACTACATTTAAAACAAAGTTAAAAGGCCAAAATGTTAAATTTTGTCAGTAGGCTGCATTTCTTTAGAGTTCGGTTGATTCCCAATGTGTCTTTCGGGTGCTGTTCTCTGTGTTTTTGCTTCTACGGTAGGTTCTTTGCTCCCTCGAAGGAACTTTGTTCAGTTACTGTAGACCTTACAAGGTGGCGCTCTTCACGTTGAAAGACTAAATGTTGAAAGACTAAAGGAGTTTATGGCCAGACTAGCATTTTCTAGAAAGCATACTTAAAAACAGACAGACAAGAGAACCAACTCTGCCAGCTTGCTATCTGATCTTTGCTATTGAAAAAAAATGGCAAGGGTGTATTTGTCTGCATGGAGATACACACAACAAACACACAAACACACAAATTTTCTCATCTCTGCACTTAATTTCTTCTGTGCAGGCCTATCTTGGCTGAATGAAGAATGCAAGCTCATTTCTGTTCAAAAGTAAAGCTTATTGCATTTAGGAGAACTATTTTCTTGCAGCTTTAAACATTCAAGCAAGAGTAAACACGGCATCTCCTTCCCCTAATGACATTTATTTTCAAACAAGCACAATGAATACCCCCATTACAATACTGTATTGCAAATAGTTAACCGATAAAGGCATTAAGCATTGGAAACAATGAATGAATCCATACCAAGATGTTTGCCCATCCCAAAGCTTTCTCGCTCTTAGAAGTTAGAACTGATTGATTGAACTTAAAAACACCTATCACGCGTGTGCGTGCAGACACACGCACACAAACACACACACACACATATACCTCCTTGAACTATGAAGAGGTCACCAGATGTAATTCACTCTGTGACATGATAGCCGACACACAGAGAGTTTTAGCCAAGCTTGTGATCTCTGTTGTCTTGTTGAAATGTTGTCTGCTTAATGGGGCGATCATGCAAGCTACATCCAGGAACAAAGCCTAGCAGTTTCTACAAGCATCACTAAGTTAAGAGAAGCACCACAGCTTGCAAATCTATCAAACTAAATTGCAAAGAGAAGCAATCTGATTTTTTTTTTAAAGGAATTGTGCCACAGTCATTATGCACGACTAATATTGATACACAAAGACATAATTTTTTTACTGCATTACTGCCAGACAGTAGAACAGATTTCTTAACTAAATGGGGAGGGGGGACAAAAGAAGTAAAGAACATAAACTCCAGCCAGCCTGTCTTAGATCAGTTTGTTTTTGTTATCATTTCTGTAAGAAGCTTTTAAGGTTGGCATAATGTTAGAGGGAAGGGATAAAAAAAAAGCTTTATATGTGGATGATTCCAAAATGTTGGTGTGGTTTGAGGATTTAGGAATGGGGGAGGGGTGGAAATCATTACAAAGGAAGGACAAGATGTCACTTGTGGCCATCTTTAAAATTATCTTAAATAAGCCTCTCCAGTGTTTTGTTTTGTTTTAATTTTAATCCTCATATAAATAAATGATTTCAATCCTTACTGACTGCAGTAGTTTGGTACTATAATTCCCTGGTCAAGCATACATTCTGGTCATGTTCTTTTTTTTTCTTCCTTCTTTTCTCCAGATGAAATTTCCTTTCTGCTAATATCGGTAGGACAAATTCAATCAATAATAATATACTCTATGCTTATGATGGCCAGTTAAATTATATTGCAAATGAAAACTTTGCTCCATAGGTTTTAACCTAATACGAATTACACATTACTACCATGTCAACGGGGACAACTATGCATGCATTTATCACATTTATATATCAAAGTTGCTACTTTCCTGATGACACCATGGAAGAAAAGGGGGGGCCAGGAGGAGGGGAGAGGGGAGACTCTCAAGTTAACTGCCAAAAAATCTAAGTTGCAGCACCCCAACCAAAGCAATAAGGATGCCTACCACAAATTACAGGATTTCAGAATCTTTAATAATGTACGAAATGTTACCAAACAGTTCTGTAAACTAAATTGTACATACCAATTCTTCTAGCCATAAATATTGAATATCTGTAACATGTATAACCAGACCTTTACATGCGGATAAATATGGAATTCGGGAAATATATACAATATGTGGTTGTATTTGCCAAAAGCAATGGACAGGTTATAGCTTATAGCTTTTTTTTTCCTTTCTTTCTTTTTTTTTTTTTAATATCACTTTACATACACAAATGTAACAGTTTGACACGCAGATCCAGGCTTGCACTATACGAATTATTTTGACAGGACATGTAACAACATTTTACTGCACTACTTAGACTGGACTTTGGAACGAAATGCTTGCACTTTATACAAAAGAAAAAGCACACCAATAATATTCTGTTAGGTTGACGTTTAGACTGTAATAATACAAAGTAATTCACATTTTGGTACACATTTACTAGAACATCCTTGCCATTCAGTACAAATAGTTGATCTTCTACCACCCCCCTTCCCCCCTTTCAGCCTCCTCCCTCTCCCCTCCCTCCCACCCCCCCACCCCCAGTATATGCAAAGACCACCGTTTCACATAGCCCCTTATTTCAACTTGTGGCAGAACTATTTACAAAATCGAACAGTACATTGTAAGCTAGTATTTCTGTATTTACAGAAAACAGGAGGCAGCTGCCCAGAGAAACATGCAGTTGTGAGAGCTCCAGTCAATGGTCCCCATCTGAAAAGCCCTACACATGGACAAGATGGCACCACAAACCGGCCTTTCTCTCATACACAACAGAACCTTTTGGGCTTTGCTCTCCTAGCCTTTGGCCCCGGAACCAAAGCAAACAGCAGAAAAGGGACCAGAGAGGGAAAGAAACCAGACCTGGGGGGGGAGGGGAGGGGGAGGGAGAGAGAATTCTTGATTTGGTTCACACCTGGGTCTATGGCAGCATTTAGATAGATTGATAGATTTATTTATTTATTTATATAAAAAAACAAACAAACAAAACACACACCCCCAAAAAAGATTCATCAATTTCAAAGTGTTCGTTATTATTATTATTATTATTTTTGAGTCTTTTAAATAGGTCGCTTTTTGCCCCCGTTCGTTTGTTTGTTTAAACGTACCATTCGTTAAAATTTGACGTGAGCGTACTGTGGCTGGACGTGTGATGGACCGCTGAAGATGAGGGGGATAAGGAACTCGTGGTCTGGTTTTCTGTGGATGGAGAGACGATGGTTGGGGGGGTTGACGATTCATAACCCGAGCTGGCAGCGGGAGAAGGCTGGGATCCCTGGTTAGAGGATTCGTGGACCTGGAAAAGAGAGAAAGAGATAACAAAGAGAAAAGCTTGACACGCGGGTGGGTGTGAATAGGTATCTACATATATATAATAGTTGTGTGTGTGTGTACATACACACCGCTTAAATATACACGTATACATATATACACACATCACTTAAATATACACATATACATATACATATATATATATATATATACACACCCCATTTAACTATACACATACATACACAAATATACATATGCATGTACACGTACATACATGCATACACACACGTACACACAATGCACACTGCAGAGCTAAATAGTTGTGGATGCCTAACTGACAGACCAACGTGCATGCGCACTATCTCGGCTAGTTGTCCCGAATGCTAAGCTCCCCGAGCTCAATTCACCGATTGAACTCTATAGGCTAGGGAAGAGGGAGGGGGAGGAGAGAAAACGCCAGAAGTTTGAAATCTTGCTTTGCTAATCAGGATCGCAGAGAAACGTGGAGTTCTGAAGTCTCCGCCAGTTCTGCCCATTTCGCGGGACGGCCCGCCGTGTAAGAAAAATATGGGCCTGGCTGTCTCTCTCTCTCTCTCTCTCTCTCTCTCTCTCTCTCTCTCTCTCTCTCTCTCTCACACACACACACACACACACACACACACACACACACACACACACACACTGTTAACGCAAGCTTAACCAAGAAAACGGGAGGTTTCCATACCCATCTAGGTTCCTTCAAAGCACTACCATCTAGATTTTGCTTTAAATCCTTTTTCCGGAGCAGCGCCTAACCCCCGATGAATACGGAGCGGGACCCATTGTTGAGGCCGTTTCTCAGTGCAAAAAACCCTGGAATTGTTAGTTTTTTTTTGAGCCTGAGAGCTGGTGGGAGTATTCCCTTTATCTATCCTTTCTAGAGTGGCCATATCGTTGGGGACAAACTCAGTGTAGATCGAAACACCCTTGGCAAAGAAATAACCTCGGGGCTCTCCACTCTTTTCTCTCTCTCCCTCCCCCCCCTCCGAAAAAAGTAGCGGTGGTTTATAATCCAAGTCGGCGATGGAATAGGCGAGGCGAACAAGAGCGAGCGGAGGAGAGAAGGTCCCAGCAAGAAGCACGAAAAAAGCTAAAACGACCATTTTTACCTTCATGTGTTTTCGTAGGGAGCTGGGATGCGTGTAGGATTTATCGCACATTTTGCAGAGATAAGGCTTATCTGACGTGTGGACATGCATGTGCTTTTTGCGATCGCTACTGTTGGCGAAGCGCCTGTCACAGCCCTCGAATTCACACTTAAAGGGTTTTTCACCTATTGAAAAAATAAACAAGAACCTTCTCGTTACAAATCTGGGACTTTATGCGTGCTAATTTTTATATAATATAATATAATATATACACAAACATCAGATCGTTCCAATTCCAAGAAATATCGGGAGACGAAACTACATAAAAATGTTTACTGAATTTTTCTTCCACTTCAAGAAGAGACCCCAGGATTTCACCAGACGTGAACCTGCTGCAGCAAAACTGGCAGTCCAGTCTGGCAAGGGAAAATTCGCTGCCACTATTAAAGCTACACCTCCTCTTAGTTTACTTTCCCTTTTCCCTATTCAACCCTGGTCTACACATAATCTGATAGAACTTTATAGTTATCTCACTTCTAATGCGTTATACGCTTTGATTAAACTTCCAAGTGGTAACAGTGCCTGCTTCCAATTCTCGTATAAACTTATATGCCAGAATGAGGAAGGAAGGAAGGAAGGAAGGAAGGAAGGAAGGAAGGAAGGAAGGAAGGAAGGAAGGAAGGAAGGAAGGAAGGAAGGCCAATTTTTTAAAGGTACTGTTCATTTACGATATATTACAATAAACCTTTTCCAAGGGTAGCATGTAATAACACAAACCCATACAGCTCATATTACTTAAATTGGCCCACGTAATTAAATATTTACAGAGAAATAAAAATGATAGCAAGAAAAACTGGAATGAACAAGCTATATATTTAGCCAGATTTCTCAAAGCAACGCTGTCACACCAATTAATTAAAACCAATAAATTCAGACCGCTGCCATTTCCCCCTCAGCTCCTACTCCCGCCTCCCTTCCATCCCCAGCTGTTAGAACCTATATTTCCAAATTTCCTTATTTAAATATATATATATATTGAAAATGAAAAATGAAAAACTCTAGAGAAAAATACTCTCTTTCTCTCTTGTTCGCTTTAGCTCAACTTCAACCCGAAATTCAATCGCCTTCTTCGGCTACGATTGCTCTGGCAACGGGCCCCCTTCCAGGACTCCCGAGGCCTCTTCCCTTCCCGAAAAAACACTGTTGCGAACGGCCCTCTTTGAACCCCGTCAAGGCAAGTGAAGTTTGGCTTCTTTTGTTTTGTTTGTTTGTTTGTTTGGAGACGTACCTGTATGCGTCCTTTTGTGGATTTTGAGATTTTCCGAGCGAGCGAAGACTTTGCCGCATCCCGGGAAAGGACAAGGGAAAGGCTTCTCCCCCGTGTGGACGCGGATGTGGTTGACCAGTTTATATTTGGCCTTGAAAGGCTTCCCTTCTCTGGGACACTCTTCCCAGAAGCAGATGTGGTTGGACTGCTCGGGCCCGCCAACGTGCTCCACGGTGACGTGAGTCACCAGCTCGTGCATGGTGCTGAAAGTTTTGTTGCAGGACTTTTTGGGGTTAGCCAACTGCTCGGGTTCGATCCACTTGCAGATGAGCTCCTGCTTGATGGGCTGCCTCATGTAACGAAAGAAGGCCCCCGCTCCGTGATGGGCTGCCATGTTCATATTCATGTGGCCGTAGCCGTGCAGTTGGGGGGATGCATAATGCTCGGAGCGCGGGCTGGTCACCTGCCCATATTGCTCCGGTCGGCCGTACATGTCTCCGGAGAAACCGAGGCGCATCTGCCCGTTGACCACGTTGGGCGACGCGTGGCTCGTGGCTTGCTCGTGGAGGCCCGGGAAGAGGAGATGGCCCGCCGCCTCGCCATGCCCGTGGGGCCCTCCGAAGCTGCCGGCCGCCGAGGCGAAGAGGCTGTGTTGCGCGCTGGCCGCCGCCGCCGCTTCCCCGAAGCCCCGGTTGCGAAAAAGAAAGTCCCGCGTGGAATTGAAGGCGGCCGCGCTGGAGTAGGAGCCGACGTGGCCCGGGTGATGGTGGTGGTGTCCCAGCGCCGCCGCCGCCGCGTAGCCCGGGGCCTGCGAAGTGAAGGCGGTCTGGCCGGCGGAGGCCAGCTCGTGGCTGCTGGGGTTGAGCTTGAAGGCGCCCATGCCGGCGTCGGCGAAGGGGTTGATGCCCAGTCCCACCTCACGCTCCGTCACATCGCCCGTGGAGTGGTGGCGAGAAGAGCCGAAGGTCGTCACACCGATGGCTGGGTACTGAGGTCCAGCATCCAGGAGCATTTTGTCCCGCTTTGCGGGCAGCTGCGGCAGCGACCGCCGAAACAAAAGTGATTGATCGGGGGCAGGGAGGGCGGGGGGGATAAGAAGAAGGAAGCAGCCGCCAACAAACGGCAGGAAAAACGGGAAGGAAGAGCCGCTGCCGCCGCCGCTGCCGTCGCCGCCAATCCAACCAGCTTCGCCGTGCCTTTCTCTTGCCAAAGTCCGCGCGACGATCAGCCACTAAAGCGACCGCATCAGGAACTCCCCTTTCGGCATCCGCGCACCAAAAACACACACACACACACACACACACCCCAAGGGGGGCGGGTGGGCGAAAGGGGGGGGTGCGGGGGGGGTAAAGAGGGGTGGGGGGGGGAGCGCCGAGGAAGCAGTCGAGAAGCTGCGAAAATAAAAGAAGAGTAAAAAAAAAAGACCTCGGCGCGCGCACAGGCAAAAACCGATTGCGCCTCCCCCCAACTCCTGCCTCTCGGACTGCACTTTTTCGGGGTCTTCGCGGGGAGGAGGGAGAGAATTCAGGAGACCCCCGCTCTCAAATAACAATAGCCCAAAGAGAGGAGGAAGCAGAGTCTGGCTGGGAAGGAAAAAAAAAATCAAAACAAAAACGAAACTTCCTTTAGTTCTTTCCTTTCTGGATTTTTAAAAAAACAGAAGCTAGAGGAATGTAGAGAAGTAGCGAACAATTTTCAATTCTCTTCCAGTTCTTTCACTCTCCGCCCCCCCCCTCGTCTCTTTTTTTCCCCCCCTCCTTTGGCTTTTTCCCCCCTTCGCTTTCCTTTTTTCCCCCTGCTTTGTTTAAAAAAAAAAAAACCGGCGCAAATCATGCACAATATTGTCTTTTGCGGTTTATCTTCCTGGGGAGAAACTTTCACCTCCTCAGCCGGGCGGTGAACGCGAGACTGATAGCGGCAATCATTCCTGCAGATAAATGAATTGAAAAGACGACACCGTCGCCCCCTCCCCCATGAATGGGAGAAGGGGAGGAGCTACGTGGAGGCCGACGTCGCAGTTCATTGGTGCCTCGCCATTCCTACTTTCACTTGCAACTCCCTCCTTCCTCTCCAATTAAGGGTGCACAAAACCTCTGCTCTGTCCTGATTGGTTCTCTCCTCTCATCAATCCCAGGTATTGTGAAGCCGAGTGACATCGCGTTTAACAAACAGCTCGTACAGGAGTAGCAACTTTTTATACCACAAACATATAAAATATATTATTTTTATGCTGGAAAATATTTCCAAAGCTTTTCCCCAGGTTTGTTCTGGAGATGTAGATGTCCCTCATGTTCTACGTTTTACTTTTTTCTTTCCAAGGTGCTCATGGGTTGGCGCTCAAGACCTTTGAACAACACTCAACAACTTTTTAAGGGGCTTGACCATGGAAATCCTTTTGTGATCTGCTCCTTTCCCACTTGCGTTTACTTTTTTTTTTTTAACCTCTAAGGCTCTCCCCAAAGTTTGTGGTGACTTGTTTAGATCTTGTTTTAAAACAAGTCTAATATCAGTGGGAAAAAGGCAATAATATGTTTGATTCCCCCACCCCCGAAAACAATATTTAGCACCCATCAAAAGGCAGGTGGGTGAGAGCACTTTTGCTTTGGCTATTTTGTGTAGTGCTTGTGTTGTCTCTTTTTTCATACTTACTTTGTGTGTTTTTCCCTCCCCTTTCTACTTTTCTTTTTTTAAAAAAACGACTCTTTAATTCAAGATTAAAAAAAAAAAAACAGTAAATTTTCCCAAACTTGCTTTTGTCTCTTCTATGCTGCATGAAGTTCTTGGATCCTGGGGTTTTATAATGCATTTGAAATCCTCTCTAGATAGGAGCAGTATAAATTTTCTGACGCTCAACCGTTTCTAGTTCACAAATCAGTCACCCTTGTCACATTTATTGAAATTCCTCAACTTGCCACACCAGGACGGTGGAAAAAGCAGGCGGCGCCTTTGTTGCTGACCAAGCTTGTGATCGCCAGAGAAAATTTACTTACCTTCAGATGAGTGAGCAGAAAAAGAAATAACACTCCCTTTGATTTAGTTAGGAAAATGCAGACATTTGGATTCAGTGCAAACATACAACACTTGCTTGTTTTCTAGATGCAACCCCTCGATTAACCTGCCTTTCCCCCAACTAAAGTCTATTGAAGAACTGCGAATAGTTCGCCTTTGTTCCTGTTACAAAGAGCCATTGACTATATATTAAAATGATTGTCGAGATGGAGAAGTATGGCTCTTAAAAACCACCTTTGTGGCTCAATCATTTAAAAATGCAACTTCTAAACTCTTCTTTGCAGTTTTCCAAAATGTACATATTTTCTTTCTTTCTTTCTTTTTTTAAATCAGCGTTAGTTGAGCATCTGCTTTGCTTTTAATTCGGACCCATTTTCTCCCAATATCCAGAAATTTAGAATTGAGGGGTGGAGGTGGTTAAAACCAGCTAAAACTCAGAACCTTTCAGGTTTGTTGAACCAATGGGAGCTTTCCCACAAAAAACGCATCCTTCCAATTGCCTGTTAGGTGCTGTGAAGCAAATTCCCCTGGCAGGTCTAGGTGCGTGATATAATATTCAATGTTTTAAGAAAGGCCGGGGGACGCATAGCAAACAGATTTTTTTTTCCTTCTTCTTTAGAAACCTTTTGCTGTGATATATAGTACAAATAAATACTGCACGCCAGATATTCTTGCAGAGTCAATACAAGAGAAGGGAAGATTTTTCAGAGCATTCTGGTCTGTAGGTTTTCCTGGGTTTTCGCTCCCTTCTTAGCGCTAATGTTTGGGTGAAAAGTAGCCTGGCAAACTAAACCCATAGAGCAAGACTTCAACGCCTTAAGCAACAGGTTTCAAGCATCTCATCTGGGTAAGAAATGTGTCTCGCTCTGGTTGCAAGTATTAGATCTGGCCTGAAAGGTGAAAGGTTACTATACTTAGCATGGTTAATTCCAGGGCTACCAACAAGAGGAGAATCTGGGGGAATATTTTGTCTTCGGGAGAAACCTGCGCACCTTTGCAGCTAGCCGAAGAGAGAGCAAGAGGGTCTTCGGGACGCAGGGCATCCACTTAAAACCCACCCCAAGACTTTACCTTCAAGGAAGAGTGCCGCCTAAAAATGACAGCCTGGTTGCTTTGTTTCTTCGCTTGTTTATTTCTCCGGGTTGTTGGGTGTGTGTGTGTGTGTGTGTGTGTGTGTGGAAAGGCGGCTGAGCTAGAAACTCCATTTGTGCCTGTGTGCGAGTGAGCGCTGTATGTGTGCAAGCATTGTGGGTTGTAGAAGGGATCAAAAGTGGGATTTGTGGCATGTTCTCTGCAGGAAACCAGAGCTGCTCCAGTTCAAAGCCACATGCACCAACGTGACATATAAGCCATTAAAATACCGTCCCGACGTTTTATTTCTATTTCATCATGCATTTCCCAACTATTTTCAGAAAGCAAGAAAAGAAGAAACGAAGGGGGAACTTTCCGACCAAGCACCCAAGAGGACTTCTGGTTTGATCCACCCGCTGCCCACCGACCTAATTCTCTCCCCGCCCCAGCCTCTACTCCCATCTCCTTGGTTTTTCCCTCTGTTATGATTAGATTCTCTTATTTGTTGTCAGTCCGGGCTTGGTAGAACAGAAATGAAGGGATCTCGCTTTCAACAGGTGGAGTGGGGTAAGTGATTAAGATGGAGGCGGGGTGGGGGAGGAAGAATGGGAGATGGGGGAAATTGGGAAACAGAGATTCCAGTCAGCTTCTGGCAGACCAAACTGGGGGGGTGGGGTGGGAGCGATCTGTTCACTTTTCAAAGGGTCTGCCTGGGTACACCTGAGTTTAGGAAGCTTCTCTTCCTCTCTCTGTCACACGCACACTAACACACACACACACACACGAGAAAGAGAGGAGGGGAGGGAGAGGTGCAGTGTGCACCCACGAGTCTTGACCTTTCTCGGGCACGTGGGTTATGGGTTTAGCACCAGTTCCTTTACTGGAGACTGTTTTGCAGGTAAGCTATCCAGATCCCTACAGCTGAAGGCGGGGTGGGGAGCGGCATATTCTTTCTCTCCCCCCCCCCCCCCCCCCCCCCGGCCAGATGATCAGGACTTTTTGAGCAAGGCTTTTCTCACGCTGCCCTGCCGCGGGAGTTAGCGCGTCTGCTGCTGATCTCCAAAGACGCCTCTTAACGGGAGAGCAGACAATAAACCAGCCGGTTGCGATAGAGGCGGCGGTGGCACTGAAAAGAAAGGGGAGCCGGTTCCTAACGCTCGAAAATGCCCCCTTGCGCTCCTTAGAGAAAACGTGGGGTTTCTTCTATCGGCCAGCATCTCTCCTCGTTTTGTTTCGGGCTGGAAAAGCTGCCTCGGAAGCAGCCAGAGACTGACATGGATTTGGTCAAGCGCGGGTCCTGCTCTTGGGAGACTCGGCATCGTCTTCTCCCGTTCTCCTGAGCAGGGAAGAGGGACTTAACCCGATCTGCGGGGTGGAAAAGTCTGGCGGCCTTTCATAACCGAATCTTCCACTTAAGGCGTTTTCCTTAAGGGAGCGCTGAGCCTTTAAGAGAACTAAGTAGGATTCCTCTAAAACAATGACAACCAACCCCCCTCTGCCAATACATACACTCTTTCAACCCAGTTCTCCTTTGGGGTCTGGCCCTTCCTTCCCAGTGGCGAGAAAGGTGAAGCCCACTTCATTTCCTTGGCTACTGTTGATCATGTAGTTAATCAGTTTGGATAAGTGTTGAAGGCTCAAGCTCTTGAAGTGGCCGGCTTTGGAAACACCCTGGAGGTTGACCTCTGACCTGCGACCGGGAACATGTGCCAGGCCCACAGTATCCGGAACAATGACTTGAGTGTGCAACCTTGGGAAGGGGTGTGTGTGTGAACATTGGCTTGCTTTTCCTTTCAAAGGACTAGTCTTACCTGATTTCCTAACCAGCCTTGGTGGAAGCAGCTGCTGAGGGCATTCTACTAGCCTGCAAAGCTCTTGAAATAGGTATCTGGCCTGCCTGCCTTCCTCTACAAGACCAATTTTAAAAAATCAAATTAATTTGATTCTTGTATATACCCTCTATGTAAACCATTTTTTATTTTGCTTTGCTTTAGTTAGCTTTTTTTTTTTAAAGGAATTTATCATTTCTAAAGAACATGGGACATCTATAGGACCTGATACTGCCTTTATACTGCAGCTTTCCCAAGTTGTAGTGCTGCTGTCTCAGAGTGAATTAGCTAAGAAGGAAAAGAAATAGATTTGCAAGAGGTTTATTGGAATGACTGGCTACATCAAGAATCAAGTTACCAGCAAGTATTTGCTTACACCTAAACTATTTTTAGTATGGAAATAGAAGTCAGGACTATCTAGCCCATAGTAGAAACTACACTTATTCAATATGTAAACACAGGTGTCATCTGTGCCAGAAGCCCAACACATATGAACCTCAAGTCTTACTTCATCACATTTTCAGAATGTTGGTCAAAGTTTTAAAAAAAGGAAACAAAAAACTCAAGAGTAACAGCAAGCGTCCTTCATTAATAATGAAAGCAGTGCATTAGAAACTGTTTTTTGGGGGGAAATCTGTTACACGGATCCTCAGATTAAGCCCTCTGCAAAATCTTTTATTTTGTGAGAAAAGTGTGTTTGAAAATTAGACATTGAAGTGTTAATGAATTAGTCAAGGGAATTTTGAAAATGTTCAGTTTTCTTTTAAGTACTGTAACACACCTTCTTTACTAACTCCTTGTAAACCTTATTTTAGCTTTGTTCACGATATTTGAACAAATGTAACTAATTGCTCTAGCTTTAGGTGTACTTTGATGTTTTCTTTTACATTGTTCCAGTGCTTGTATAACTGATTATGAGTGAGTTCAAACTTAAAAGTTTGAGAAAAGCCTTCTAATTACAATATCAACAATAGTATTGATATCTATTTCCTATATAGCATTGGCCTTTAAAATTATAGCCCACATAGAAATCCGATAGGGCTTCTTCATATATGTGATTCTGATGAAGTAGCATTCCTTAACTTGTCCCCATTTTGCACCTATATTCCATATCTACAAAGAGAACTTTCTGTAGCAATGCAATCGTGAAGTCATGTCTTCTTGCCGTTTTGTGTGTCACTGTTGCGTGCAATTACTTCTTCATATTTGCCACTGGTGATAAAAGTTAGGAGGTGTGTTTGAATTTTCTAAAAGCATCTCTTAAATCTGGGTCTTTGCAGTTGAAGCCTTGTGTCTATCGCAGACAGCCATTGGTTCCCCCTTTGAAATGTAGAGACAAGGCATGTAAAAGCGGCAGCTTTAAAGTACCCCCAGCCATCTTGAGGGTATTTGATTTAAACCTGAGAGAGTATCTTGGATTCGGAGGGTCTTGAAAATGAGACCAAGTTTAATATTGGCCCTGAAAAGTCCATAAACAATGCAGCCAAGTTGGTGGTAGGGGTTCTTAATTTTCTGCCAGGAGGAGTGGGTCAGATCAAAGGAAAACTGGGAGGGGGGAATCTCCTTTCCTATTTCTCTCTAAATCATTCTTAGACCTGCTCTGTAAAATATGCTCAAACTTTTGAAATGTTTAATTGTAAGCTGGTTCTCCCTCTTCTCGCCCTCCCTCTCTCCCTTCCTTTATTTCTGCCGTATTTTGTAGACACAAAGACTGAGTTCCAAAACAATGTGAGTCTTTTATTCTGGGTGGGGGAAAAAAGGAGATTTCACGCCATTCTCAAATTATTTATCACTTGCACATAAGACAGCCACTTTAAAAAAAAATGCTACTCCTCTTTCCTAAACAGGAACCAAATCAGAAAATAAAGTACAGCATTCACCTTGAAATGAGAAAAAGAAAAGGATTTTACAGAAACCTTCTGGAATATTCAAGTAAGTTAAAATATGATTCCTTATACTTGCATAAGCATAACTCAACAGTGTCCCACCAATTCCCTTTCTGTTCATTCAGATGGTCTAGATAGAATGTACCTTTGGTCCCAGTTAAGCTACATTCCCTGAGCCTCTGTTTGTACTGTCACATTATGCTATGACATATTCATCTTGCATTCATTAATGGATGATTTGATTGAAATGAGGTTTGACGTGTATTTGGATCTTATTTAAAAAAGAAGACTTTGATCTTGGAGATTGGCTTTACATGATATATATCATTGTTAGCTGCCGCATCAGCCTTCCATAACGTGCTAGCTTTCCAGTGTCCACCATGAGAGGACTTAAGCAGAGTATTGACTGACATTTTATCTGACAGGAATACCTTAATCTGGAAGGAGTGGATTAAGTATTCTATTTGAAATTAGCATTTTATTGGGCTGGTCTTTCAGCTTTTAGACTGGAAGAAGGATGGAAGAAAGGAAGGAAGGAAGAAAGGAAGGAAGGAAGGAAGGAAGGAAGGAAGGAAGGAAGGAAGGGCGGGCTCTACGACCTTCCTAAGAGAATAAGCATCTCTACCTGACTTCTCCATCCTTCCTTGTTAGCCCACTTAAAATATGTAAAAAATACCCGTCAGTAATAAATGGGAAAGGAAAATGGAGGATGGAAAAGAAGCTTTAACTTTCTCTCTTCTTTCCAAAAATCACCCTCTTTCAATAAAAGAGTGGGCCAGCATTTCATCCCATATTATTTCTCTGCCCTTCTGAGGCCTTTCCAAAGTCACAAAAATCCTTCCACATACTATCTTCTGGTGAGATTAATTGGGTAAATTCCTGGTCTTCCTTACAGTCTTGCCCAGGAAGCATGGATTTCCGTCTGTATTATGTTCTTAGAGCCCATAACAAGTCAGTTAATCCCCACAGAACATGAGATTTAAGTGGGTTGCTACCCTTGAAATCATTGGCATGACATGGAGTGTTGAAAGTAGGAATTTCCATTGAACCAAGTTTGGGATTCAGTTTGCCTTCATTATAAATTCTCACATAAGCACTGGATAATAAAACTAAAATTTCAGGAAAGGAGGGATGCTTTGATTTTAAAGGAGAAGCGAGCAGGGGGTAAGGATGGCAATGCTGCATGGAAATTCTTTCTTCACGAAACTTTCCTTCTTCATAAGTGATGAAGACCTCCTCTGAAAAGGTCACCCCTTCCCTACACAGATTCATTGACCCGTCAGAGAGACAGACATAGAACTGCGGGGAAAGTTTCTGAGGGTCTCAATTGCCCAGAGAATCCGGCTGTTTTAACCAAAAGTTAAAAGGTCAAATTCTGCTAAGCAGCTACAGCCGAACCAGCTCTGTTTAAGAGATGGGGGTAAAAGAAAGCACGTGTGACCAGGCAGGCAAACCCCTCAAAAGGCTCCATATTTTCTACGGTTTCTTTCTCCCAATGGGAAAGGCAACAAAGTCACAGACTAAAATGTCCTCTGTTTTGTTTCGGAGATCTCGTGTTGCTTGAGAAGGAGAGCAAGTGGGACTCCTCGAGTCACTCCAGAGAACACCGTTAAAAGAAAATTGTCTATGGGATCAAGCTTCTCCTCTCTGCATTCTGCCATTCTCCTTGGGTAGAAATGCAACCTTCTGCCTCTTCCAGCTCCTCCAAAGGAGACTTCGGGTCCTTCAACACAGCAGAGAAATGGGATATATATATATATATATAAGGAATGGGCTTCCCTCCCTTTCCCCCTCCCCACTCACCCCCAACAGCAGTGATCCTTGAAAACTTAAACTGAACCTTGAATTCAAAGGAAGGATACATCTTAATCAGTTGATGACAGAGGTCGGGAAAAGAGAGGGGGGGGGGAAGAATCCAGTCCTCTCCTGCAAACCTACAGGCCTGTGTCGGCGGAAGGGAAAGTCCTTCAATGGGCCGACTTTCTTAGGATCTACCGGTAAGCGACTCCCGAAGAAAGCCGCCGAAATCCACCAACCAACTTGATCAGTGGTCTTCAGTGGCCGTGTCTTTCGCTTCGTTTGTACACCAGTTGATGCACAACCCACTGGAAAGTCTCGATTTCTTTCTTTTCTTTTCTTTTTTAATTAGGCAGCCTTTGCTTTCCACATATTTCGACTCTTTGCTAACCCATCACCTGGCAGGGCAAGGTAATATCCGCTCCCCCCTCTCCCCTCCGAAACCCCCAGCCACTCAGCCCCGCAGCGCGCCTTTAGTTATTCGCACAGATCACCCAAGGCTGCGCTTTGGACGGAGCAATTGCCGAGACAAATACACACACACACACACACACACTCGGTTGTAGTCTTAGCGGGGTCGGAGGGACAACCTAACAGGACCCGGGAGCAGCCTGCAAACGGGACCCCACGAGCTTCCCGCTCGCCTTGCTCCTTTCTCGGAGGCCCTTGCCAAATTGTAAAGCAACCGGGCCGCCGCGCCGAAAGAGAGGACGCCTTGCGGAAAGCTGGAAAAGGCGAGGATTTCTTCCCAGGGCCTCTCGGCAGGCCTTGCAGCTGGGCCCCCTTCAGCGGGGAAGGAAAGGAATCCGAGCTCCCTGGAACTGGCAAGCCAAAGAGCCAGACTTGCCTTTCGGGATATTTTAAAATCCTGCTTCTGGCGATAACGCAACTAGGCGTTATTCTTGGAAAGGGCCGCTTTCCTTGTCATCAAGTTCCTCCGTTCCAGTATTTATATTAGAAGCGGAATCTCTCCTCTCGGGGCTTTGACAGTCTTAAAATACAGGCGGTGAGGGGTGGGGGGGGGAGGAATACCTGCCAACCGGATTTCTGTTAAGTGGTGGGGGGGAACCTCGAGCTCTTCTGCAGCTCTTAAGGTTCATCCTAATTTCTGCGGTTCAGGGATAGATTGGCCACACAATGGCAGAGCTCGGACGCCCGTGGAATGGGCGCACTTTTGTCTCCGGCATTCTGCGGGATAGCAAGGGAACTTCGTTCAGGACCTCCTTCTCTCTCTCTTTTTATTTTCTCCGCCTTCTGATCTTGGGTACCACAACCCTCCCTCTCTGCTCTCCTCTCTCTCTCTCACACACACACACACTCACTCACACACACACATACAGATATGTCTCCCAAGGTACACAACAAACGCTAGGAGTGAGAGCACTAACTTCACCTAATCTAATGAGAGATACACCATGGGCCATTTCTTTTCCATTGGATTCACGGAAGGCGAGGGGGGAGTGGAGGGGAAACCCCTGTGTGAAACCTCGGGGTTTTAAGTAAGAGCGGATAAAGCCATTAGCGTTTGACAAGAAGCCATGCCAATATTTTAGAATGGCCTAAGCCAACCGATGGTAACATAGGGGCTTTTTTAAAAAAAAAAAATTGATAAAGTGTTCCAGATGTTTTCTCTCTTGACTGAAGACTGTCAGGATTGAAGGATGTCAAGTATGTAGAGATGGAGTGATTGTAAGGAGGGGTGAGGAAAACAGCTTTATTTGGAAATCCCACTCAGTATCTTTGTAAGTAACCAGCCTACCAGAGTCTTGCTTCCTGTAACATTTGCCTTTTTTTTTTTTTGCCGTAACCTCATTCAGAGACCGTCAAGGATGGGGAAAGAAAAACGCGAAATGTTTTTGGCTTTAGGCAAAAGCGACTATCAAAGGACAGTTGTCTTGAATGGCTGGGGGTAGGGTGGGGGTGTTAGATTGTCTACGTAAACATGTTATGTAAGGACAGTTAACTGAATCCAAGATGGGTTAACTTTTTCAGTTCCTTGGGGCATATAAGTGTGTGTGTTTGCATTTGTGTAAAATATTGATTCTGCTGCCTTTCAAAATACTTGGAGTTATAATCCGAACAAAATCGGTCAGAACAGAACTATCTCTCTGCTATAGATAAAATAAAATTTTTAAAAAATATTAAGATTATTATCTGTGAGGACTTCTAACATTTAAACTCAGAATTCCAAAAATTCTCAGGAGAATATTAGAAACAAGTTGCCAGGAAAATATAGAGATATATTTCCTAATTTGTTTGTTTGACCGCTTACCTGAAGTTGCTTGATAGTGGCTTTATCAAGGAATGGCTTGGAAACAAGGTACAAAAATAAGCTATCGGTTATAAAATAGCTTTAGATGTATTGGAAATGTGTGTGTGTTTTCAATTGAATGGCTGGAATTATTTCACAGTAAAGCGAAGCATATGTTTTGTTAGAAATATTTTAAACATTGTGTGATAACATGTTCGTGGTACCATGGTAACTAAAATTCTATGATGGTGAGAGATAGAAATATAATATGCTTGAATCCAAAGGTTGACTTCTTGAAGGATTTTCATCTCTACCACTATTTTTTTCTATTACTTAAATTTAATATGCTTTTCATTATTTCATGAATGGATACTACCTTGGGTGGTGAAAGCTTTGGTGACTTCATTGAGAATGTAGTTGACCAGAAGTATTTTCGCTGCAGTTCACTCGAAGTCCTTGTTTCATTGGGGAGGGGGGGATCCCGCTAAATTCAGTGGAAGTACCTAACTCGAGTGAATATCGGGATGGCGTTTTAAGAGTCTTTCTCACTGACCCCTCAGGACATTTGCACAAAGGAGCTGAGTGAACGGTGGGATTATCAGAGAATTGTTTTAAAATATATATTTTATGTTTTAAATATATGTTTTAAAACATATATTTTACCATTTGTTTTCAAATGCGAGATGGATAAATGGGGCTCATTAAAAGATTTTAATTGGAAATTCACGCACCTGAGTGTAGGGAAATCAAACGTGTTGAGAAATGCAGATAGCTGAGCTGAATTTAAAAATGAAGAGGGGAGGGACTCCTTCCACCCGAGTAGGCTTACTCTACCGTAATGGTTACCTCCTCAATTTGGGGCTATGAAGTTAAAGGCAGAATTCTGGAAGCAGGATGTTAAGGACAGCGGGGGAAGGGAGGGGGAGATCCTGAATTCACACAAATCAGGATAAACATTTCTCGGAAATGTTCCAAGGCTTTAAAGAGACAAAGGCATTCCGGCATTTATTATTTTCATCACAGACCCAATAACATTACAGTCATTTTCCGCCTCTCTTTTGCCAGGAGGGTAGAGTATGAGTAACTTCTGCCTGCAATCTACAGGTTGCTTAATTTCACAGCTCCCTGCTCCATTGACGCGATTATTGTTATTCCCCTAACTAAATGGGAGCGATTGCCTAGGAGAGAGAGAGTGAATAGATCAATACAAATTTCTCCCGCTCCCCATTTCCAACCCACACCAGTACTTCAGGGGATGGATATTGGAACTTCTTAAGTTTCAGTAAACTTCCTGAAATGATCAGCAAGATTGGACTTGACTATTGTTGCAGTCACTTGCAAGCAGTGGCTCAGTTTAAAAATAAAGCAAATAATGCCACGATGGAAAATGGGGTGCCTGGGAAATAGGGTACGAGTATTGTTTTTACGGTGTTTTTTTTTTTTTTTAAAGGCTCGGCCCTCTGGGCTGCCAACAAGTGTTAGAAATCTAAATAAGTGTTTGCTCAGCTCTGCTTCTCAGAATACTTTCTGAATGCAAAAGCCTGCCTTTTCCTCATGGTACCCATTTATGTTGGGAACCGGGAGCCTCTCCATATCTGTGTGTGCCATTTAAAAAAAAAAAATCGGTAGTCAATCTGGGGGTGGAGTGGGGGGTGGGGAAACGACCCAAGTTTGGAAAGCATCTTCTAATTTAAAACATATCCAGGGAATTGCACAAAATAACCGTGTACGATCTCAAGAGCTAGCCCCTCCTTTTGAGATGCTATCACTTAACTAGGTGCCATCCCCTGTCTGTTGGGGAACGCAGAATCGGAGTCCGTTGTCCGAAGCCATTTCTAACCCGGGAAGGCTCCAAGAAGAGAGAAAGCGAGCGGAGGCGATCTTGTAACGCCTGGCGAAGCCTTCTCGGGGCAGTCTCTCTCTCTCTCTCTCTCTCTCTCTCTCTCTCTCTCTCTCTCTCTCTCTCTCTCCCCCTCCCTCTCCCCCTCCCTCTCTCTCTCTCTCTCCCCCTCCCTCCCTCCCTCCCTCCCTCTCTCTCTCTCTCTCTCTCCCTGCGGATTCCCGCTGCGGTTTGGCCTGGCCCGGGTTTCTTTCCCACTCCAGCCCCAACAAGACTCAGACCAGCGCGGAAGTTTTGAGAGAAGCCGCGCCTCGCCTCGCCTGGCTCTCTTTCTCGGTCCCTTCCAGCTTTGCGGCGGGAAGGAACCGCGAACTAGCCTTGAAGTTAGCCTGGAGCCAATCAGGCCCCCTCGGCTCTCCATTAAAGCATCTGCTGATGAAGAAGAGGCTGACTGGGACAGAGCAGAGGCCCGGGCAAGGGTGGAGGGAGGGAAACCGTGAAGACTTCAGACGAGCGCAAATGAGAACCGTAAAGGCTCCAAGCAACTCGGGGGAAGGGCGGGAGGGCAGGAAAACGGGGCGACTCCAAGCAATGGATCGGGGACCACCAGCGGGGCGCAGGAAAGGACGGGGAAGTCAGCAGCCAGCCTCGCCTTTGCGCATTCGCAGCCGCTGTCGTGGCACCACTCCTCAGCAATTGCCCAAGAGCGCTGAACGGCACCGAGACCCTTTCGACTTGGGCCGGACCCACTTTTAATTCTGTTCATTAAAACGCAGGTGAAAACTATCTGCGGGGAGGCAACTACAAACAGGAGCAGAACCGGCTCGGCGGAGCCGTGCAGAGCGGAGGAGCAAAGAAAGAGGAGGGAGGAAAAACGCAAAGGGTCTTTTGGAAATTACCCACCAAGCACCGCGCAAGCGCAGATCTCCTTGTATCCTCTTCATCCCTTCCCCGCCCTTTTCCTCCCCGCTCCTTCCTAAATCTTTTCAGACTTCAGAGGGGACCTGTCATCGCTGACGTCGGTCAGGCAGCTTCGGCCAATCGGAGGCCTCCCTGATTGTTTAAGCGCTCCGGGTTGGAGCCGAGTCTATGAAGCTCTATTCAGTAGCCTCCCAACGTCCTGCTGCTGCCTCTCAAAAGCATATGGGATTCCACGTAGGCATTAAAAAACAAGGGGGAGAAAAATCTACACACCCCCGCCCCCCAAAAAAAGGGATGGGGAAGGGAGAAGGGGGAAATAAAGAGAGGGGAGAGAAAAAGAAAGGGGGAGCAAGAAGAAGCAGCAAAATCAAAACAAAGCCAAATAGTGGAGACCGAGAGATTGGGAGGGAGGAAGGGAGAGAGGGAACCTTTCGGGGAAGCGGGGGGGGGGGAGAGGAAAACTTTCGCAAAAGTTTTTTTTTTCTCTCTCTCTCCACCGCTGGCTTTCTCCCTCTCTCTCCCTGCCTTTCAGGCGCCCTCGCTCGCTCCCCCTCCCCGCTGTCAGGTGACTTTTTAGAACTGTAGAACCAAGTGAGCTTTGGGGGAAGCCGGGAATGGGGTCGGCGGCACTTTCCAAGCGGAACACCGCGCTGAAATTAGTAGGCTTGGCAGGGGATCCTCATCCTCCTCATCCTCCTCACCGCCATCACCACTCCCCTCAGAGCATGACAGGCTTCGCCGGGGATCCCCATTCCATCGTTCCCACGCGCCCTGGGGAGCACCCTGGAGAATCCCGCCTCGGTTTGAGTCCATTCCGGTCAGAACACTTGGGACACCACCATCATCATCGTCACCACCACCACCACCACCACCACCATCACTCTCCTCCTCCTCCACCACCTCATCACCCAGCGGCCCTTAAGCTCTGTGCTGACCCTCAGCCTCGCCATCCCGTGACAGGCCCAGCTGAAGTGGTCCCGCGTCCAACTGGAGCGTTGGGCCCGGCGCAGTCAACAACAGTCCCTTATGCGATCCCTCACCCAAGCCAGGCTCTATCGGCAGGTAGAGATTTATTCCTGCGCGGGGATCTGACTGCCCCCGGCATGCCAGGGTTCTCTTATCCACACTCCGCTGCTCCAAGTTCTCATCACGGAATATTTGTCTCAACAACAGGTAGCTACCCCGGACACCATGCTCCCCACCACCACCACCACCTCCACCACCTCCACCACCTCCACCACCACTCGGAAGTCGGGACTCATTCGCTCCTTACTGGACTCCATCACCCGGAGCAACCTCCCCATGGACCTCCAGGTGGCCATCTAAACGGACAGATCAGGCTGGGACTACCTGGAGAAATGTACGCCAGGTCTGAGCCTTTCACTCCAGGACCAATCTCCCGGACAGATCCTTTCGCGGCTTCCTCCTTCCACGGCTACAGTAGCATGAACCTGAACGTGAATCTAGCGTCCCACCATGGCCCTGGGGCTTTCTTTCGCTACATGAGGCAGCCCATCAAGCAAGAGCTCATCTGCAAGTGGATTGAACTGGATCAGACGCCCAAGAAATTATGCTCGAAAACTTTCAGCACCATGCACGAGCTGGTGACTCACGTCACCGTGGAGCACGTTGGCGGGCCCGAGCAGTCCAACCACATCTGCTTCTGGGAAGAGTGTCCCAGAGAAGGGAAGCCTTTCAAGGCCAAATATAAACTGGTCAACCACATCCGCGTCCACACGGGGGAGAAGCCTTTCCCTTGTCCTTTCCCGGGATGCGGCAAAGTCTTCGCTCGCTCGGAAAATCTCAAAATCCACAAAAGGACGCATACAGGTCAGTATAGGTTGGTCTTGCTCCATTACTGTTGAGTCCAGAGATGTGCTGATGCACGTGCACTTCTTCCTCCTCCTCATCCGCCTCTTCCTCTTCCTCTCCATCCCCTCCCCTCTTTAGTTTCCTTCTAATTAGACTTAGAATTAATTAAAGCTACAGTAGTTCAGTAAACCCTGCAGAAGAGTTGGTTTAGATTTTTGCTTTGCTTTTGCAGCATTTGCATGTGTGTGTCCTTGTATGTGTCTGTGAAGAAAGAAAGAAAAGGAAGGAAGGAAGGAAGAAAGGAAGGAAGGAAGGAAGGGGAAGGTCCAGAATTTAAGATGGCATTTTTTATGTTTGGGGAGGAGGGAAAGAGATTCCAAAGCCCTTCCAAGAAAATAAATACATCCAATCTTGGGGCAGGAACTTGCAAATTAAGAGCAGACAAAGGAAACTGCAGATTGTCTAGGCAATTGTGAGTGATGCCACTGTGCCTTCCTTGTGAGAAAAACACAGCTGCACAGTCCCTCCTTTTTGTTTGGGACAAGAAGCCCTGAGGATAGTCCCCCGATGCTCTTTACTTCTTTAACGTTTGTATGCTTGCAAAAAATATGAGGTGGTTCATTTTTGGAACCTGGGAAGTTGGAAATGATGGCAGGGATGTGCCTTGGATTGAAGGTGGAAGTGATTCAGTGTTTCTGGGCTGCCCATTTGAAAAGGTCACTGGCCAGCATTCTATGAGAAGTCTACGTTAGAAACTTTGGAGTTTTTCTTCCTCTAGTTAACATGAAAAGGCAAGCTGTCCAAATGAGACAATCTTGCAATATTTATGCTTGACCCCAGTCTGCCACAAAAGCATTTAGAGAGAATAAATGGAAACTTAGAAAGTTTTCACACTTCAGGATCCTCCCCGTGAAGCCTTACACTGTAAATGAGATTGGCAGCCACTGTCTGTGATTTTGCTGACTTCACCCAACTCCTCATTTTTTTTCTCTCTCTCTCGCTCTGGTTCAGCACAAGATATTAAATAAGCCTTTTTGCAAAATGTAATCCTTTTTGGGATATAGTTTTATACACAGTCTCCTGTGTGCATTCCCTTTCTACTGGGCAACCCTACAGAAATGATGAATCCTAGGTTCTTCCTTTATTCTATTCTGCCACTATAAAGCCTATTTGCTTTAGCGATTAAATGATTTTGCTCTACTCTTCTTTATTCCCATCTTACCGTTTACCATATAATTATATTTTTGTTAGATGATTTATATTATTTGGAATATTTAATCATCAATAACAAAATATTAATCAAAACATCTTCATGTGGGTAAGTAGGAAGCCATTAAAGAAGATACTTTATTCCTCAATCATGGTGCCTTTTTAAATAAGCAAACTTTTAGTGCCCTTTCACTGCCTTCTCTTTTGAAGTCTCTGAAGCAGAAAATGCTCAATTTCTTGTAAATTTGACCTACAGCAGTGCACTTGAGCACATGAGAAAGATGCCAACTCATAGGTTTATTATATGATATAACCTATCACACATGATCTTTTGCCTGAGCTTCCCACATAATTTTCTTTTAAAGGGAATGGTGGTGTAACCAAGGCCAGGGCATACTAGTCAAATTTTGTAGGCCTAATTGCAGAATCATACTTTAGGTTGACTACCCTAACTTGAAATTCTCAAACCCAAATATGTTTAAAATAGTAATAAACCTTCCAGGAAATTATTCATGGAGAAAATTCTAGATTTGCAAGGGGAAAAAAATGCTTTTGTCCAGTATTGACAATGTTATATTTCCTAGCACAATAGAAAGAAGCAGATTTCTGAAGCAGAGGGGAAGAGAGAAAGAGAAAGAAAAAGAGAGACGAGAGAATTAATTCCCAATAGAGTGGCCCAGTGGGAAAAAAAAAACAGAGAAAGCAAAAATCACTTCCTTACCATTAGAGCTGGCCAGAGACATTTGTAACCAAGGAGGATTTTAGGCCGCAGTAAGGAGGGTCTGTTTTAACTTGTAATTTATAGCAGTAAGCCTGGCAAAATAGATCTTCCTCCGCCTTCCCTTCCCCCTCGAGAATTTTGCAAAGACTTTAATCCAGTCCCAGTGTTGGAAGGATTATGCTAAAATCGCCATGCTGTACCGTCTTGCACTCAGCAGCCAGGCCTGTGAGAGCTACAAGTGGGGGTTAGAAGATGGCGGTGCAAATTCCATGGGGCTTGCACGCATGCCCCTGCACCCCACAACTTCAATGCTCTCCTCCTCTCCACCCACCACCAAGGTAGAAAAAGGAATTTTTCAAAGAAAGGCCAGAAATGGTTTCTCTCTGCTGTCTCTTGTTTGAATAACACATACTTCTGTACAGAAAACAATCCTTTAGTTTTACTCCAGGGAACAAATGCTGGCAGATGTATTTGTGGGACTAGTCACAGCAGTGAGCATCCACTTTTTCTCAAATCAGCCCTTGTGTTCAAAGCCAGCTTTCAGTTTTGGTTTTGGTCTCAATTCACAAACTAGCTCAGGGGTCTCCAACCTTGGCAATTTTAAGCCTGGCGGACTTCAACTCCCAGAAATCCCTAACCAGCTTTGAATTCTGGGAATTGAAGTCCTCCAGGCTTAAAGTTGCCAAGGTTGGAGACCCCTGAGCTAGAGGAATGAAGGAAGGTTGAGGAAGGCAAGTCTTACATGAAGGCAACTCATTCTCTCTCCCGTTGGCAGGAGGGTTTACGGCAGAGTTGTTCCCCTGGGCCTCTTAACTTCCAGCTTGCTTGCACTGCATTACATGGATCTCCTTGATTTGTTATTTCAGCTGAGCAGGGGAAGGTCAAACTGTTTCTGTACGAGGAACTATAATTAAAATGCTTAAAGAGCCATCAAAATATAAGATCTTTCTTTTAATTTCTCTCCCCCTCTTCTTCCCCCCCCCTCCCCCTTCATCGGCACACCAATACAGAATTCATGAAAGGGAGAAAACATCTTGTTAGGTTCTTCTTTGCAAAAGCCATTGTTTTTCTCTTATGGGCTGAGAATAATATTTAGATTTTCACCAGTATTCTGGAAAATCAGCAGCTCTACAGTTTGATGCTGGGAATTTTGTAGTCATTTTCTTTAAACCTTGAAACCTTTGCAATCATTAGAGCCATTTTGTTTCAATGTCTTCAGTGATTTTTTTCAATGAACAGTGACTTTAAAAACCAGTTAACTTTGTAAATTGGACATATAAATAGGATTTTCCATTTTAAATGCTGCTTTGCACTGAAGTCAAAATATATGATCTGGACTCTTTCAAAAAATTATCTTTAAGAAACGCTTAACACACAAACACAGACATGCATACACCAGTAATTTCTACTTTTAGAAAACAGGATCTGGCTTTTCATATCATATTTCAATATCTTTGTTATCATTTTCTGCCCATTTCTGCATTCCCACTCTCAAATAATATATCCATGATTAATGGAAACTTCAGAGCACGTGACTGCAGCATCTTGGACTTTCTATAGCTCACTGTTTTTTTTTTGGCCTAAACCAGTCCTTTTCCAGGGCATTGGTCTCTCTTGCCATCTCTCCTTCCAACAGCACTTTTCCTCCATTCATCCAGCATACGGTATTTAATATCATATCACTATCCTAATATGATCTGCTGAACTTCATGAAAGCTTTGCATTGTCCTCAATGCTCTCTACCATTCACTTCCTTATCTAGGCATATATTCCCCATGCTATTGTTTATGGCAGGTCTTCATGAAAACTGAAAACTTGGCTTGGACACCTATACCCATGAAGTTCATCCTGGCTTTCACAAAAATAAAATAATGCTGCAGTGAGCCCTCTAGATTTTTAGGCATCATGTATTAAAGTGGCAAGCAACCAAAAAAAAAACTGAGTTATTGTCAGATTCTAGAAAATATTGCACAACCTTCAGAGAAATTAAGAGAAGCCAAACCTGAGGAAATTATACAGCCTATTTTGAAGATGGACAATCCTGATTATCCAGGGGTAGCATGCCAACAAGCATGCACACACACACACACACACACACACACACACACCTTGCAGAAAGCTGGTATACATTTATGCATGTACACATAAGCTGTTCCAAAAGGTTGGATTTCCTTTTGGCCTTTTGTCAGCACAGTATTGCATCCCAAACCCTATGTAAATTATGGTTTCCAGAGAAAGCCAAATATTATGTTTCCTGTCTGATTGTGGATATATAAGTGCATGGCTGCAGGCATATGGGGTTACTTGATGGAAGCGTGAAAGGGGAAAGAGCGGTATTCCACCAGAAGTCTGTGATCTTTGGTTATGAATTGTGGGTACGACCAGCTATGTATAGTACTGTAGCTGTTTCTAAAACAACAGATAGCAGAGGCCATTTGTAAATAATGGTGCATTTGGGGAGGGAGATTAGAGGATAAGGGGATTCTGGAAGAGATTATGACCTGCAAAACTTTGGTTAAAAAGAGTCAACTTGGTTGCCTTCAACGCACTGTGTTGCCGCCATCTTGACTTTTTTGACTACACCCTGCCAGCATGCAACTAGCTGTCCTGAAGGGGGAATTCTCTTGCTCCAAAGCAGCCCCTTTCTCTGTGAAAGGAGAAAATGCTTACTTCTTGTGGGAGGGAGACACTGATAGTTTTAGAGATCTCCTTGAATCCCGGCAGGCATGAATTTGCACCGGAACATCCGGCCCCGTTTCCAGAAGGGAAAAGTGTCCCCAGAAGCTCAATGGTTGGAGAGGAAAGGAAATGGGGTTACAGCAGTGGAAATAGCCTCTTTTCTTCCCCACCCACTCCCCAAAAAGATAGTATGCCTCCACCACCACCCCACTACTTTCCAGACGACCCCCCCCCTTTTTTTCCCTCCCGGGCCGTTTCTGCCAAGTCTCCCAGGACTGCCTCTCTCTTTGCAGGCGAGAAGCCCTTCAAATGCGAGTTCGAGGGCTGCGAGAGACGCTTTGCCAACAGCAGCGACCGGAAGAAGCATTCCCACGTGCACACCAGCGACAAACCCTACAACTGTAAAGTGCGGGGCTGCGACAAGTCGTACACCCATCCCAGCTCTTTGAGGAAGCACATGAAGGTCCACTGCAAATCCCCGCCTCCCAGCTCCGGCTACGAGTCGTCCACTCCTTCACTGGTCTCTCCCTCGTCCGACTGCGGCCGGGACCCCCCTCAACCGCCGCCGCCGCCCCCGCCGCCGCCCCCAGCGGCCTCCTCCACGCAGGCGGCAGCCAACCTGAGCGAATGGTACGTGTGTCAGAGCTCCGGGACCAGCGGCATCCCGACGCCACCCAGTAACTCTCCTTCGCCCCACGCAGGAGAGGCCGCGTTCACAAACTGCGACCCCGGCCCCAATTATTAACGCCGCTGGCTGTAGGACTGCCCGTCGCCAACCAGACCGCCGCCGCCGCCTTCTTTCCGAGCTCTTTCGGGACTTTGACCAGGGTCTTGGAGAAGGGGCGGAAACCGACCCGAGACTGGGAAACTCCTCCACCCCACCCCACTCCACCCGGTTCCCCCGTATCCCTCTTGCCCCTTCCCTTCTCCCGGGCACCTTTGATCAGAATTGCTGCACTGGCCATCGGAGAGAAGACGCACTGTGGGGGGAAAGATAATGAAGAAAAAACAAAAAACAAATCTCCTCTCTGCTTTTGTATTTATTATGGTGCCAAGAGCACAAGACGACAGCCCCCTCCTCCCCCTTAACGTCTTTTCCCACGACTTCATGGTTTTTTTGTTTCTTTTTTTCTTTTTAATTATGAGTATTATTTTATTTTTCACCCCATCCTGAACCTGCTTGGATCGCTTTCTTCCCAACGTTTACAGAAGTGTCAGAGTCGACACAGCTTTTTTTTTTTTGTATCAATGAACCAAAGTGTTTTCCTACGGATTTCTAGTTGTACAGTCGCGATCTTCGGTGCTGGTACCTCGTGACCGTGTTTTTCTTGGACTCTTTTGTTCCCTGGTGGCTTTTAGTTTTGTTTTTCATTTTGACTGGGTGTGTGTGTATGCGTGCGTGTGCGCGTGCGTGTGGCGTGCGTTTGCTTTCTGAGGAAAGGGTTATCTATAAATATGTTACTGGTTAGCCAACTGTACAGCGATCAATTAAATACTTTGATTAATTTACCAGCTCAGTTGACATTTTTTGGGGAAAGAAACCCTCTTTACTGCCCCGATTTAACCAGTCTACTCTGCCCACTTGTTACTAATAAAACAGACCCAAGGGTGGCTTAATGATTTGTGGTACATTTTAATTTACACAACTAATGGATTTTAAACGCACAAACACATTCTCCTCTGTTCTCCCACTCCTGCTCCCAGTGTTATTTCTGTGAATTCTTGCAATTCCTTAGTGAGTGGAAAGTGAGATCCATATTAAAGTGAGAAGGAGTTGTTATGAGTGGTGTCATTGTGCTGATTCTTGAATTGTCCAGAAATTCAACATGTAGATTCCCCTCCCAAATGATGGAGTAAACACAGTGGCAATTTTGTTTTGAAATGCACAAAGGTTATGTAAAATTGTGAGGTTTTTTGTAATGGTAAAAATAAATGGTTTTTTTTCCAAATCTCTAGCATATCAAGAGGCTACTTCTGAGTCCTCCTTATTTTTTACCCCTTTTTTCTTATTTTCCAGCTGAGAGGGGCAAGAAGGAAAAACAGAATGCATTCCAGTTTGAGCATAGGGACAAAGCATCCTTGTGACGGTTCAGTTACTTACACCAGGCCCTAAGGCTATCAGGTCATCCTAAGAGTCCTATATCATTTGCTCATGATGTATTGTACTTCCAGTAGGGTTCCTGGGCTGCCCAGTTGATTCTGATCAATGCTAGGAAAACAGGGCTCATTTTTCTGAAGGTGCACATTAGGATTTTGCTGCAATAGTTTCCATATGGACTATTCCCTCCATTATGTAGTAAAGATACAAACTATGTAATCCTCCTCTGAATGATTCTCCTATTAAAAGCATCTGTTTCTTCTACCTAGTGTCAGCAAACATATTTTTTCTGAACTTTTCATTTTTGGGGTGCAGCTCAATAAGTCCTCTGGAATTCAGTGGAACATCCTACAAGAGTGTGAACATGTAGGACTTACATCCAAAAACCACACAAATGTAATTTACATTTTTGCATTCCTACAGCTTCTCAGTTTTTCTGTTTTCAATTGTGGCCTGGGAATGGAGAAATATAAGATTCTTCAATCCTGTAAACTACATCCACAATATTATCCTATGTTGGCTGATTAAAAGCAATGGAAGAAGCTATCCAATGACTATATTATCCTGTTTATCAGTGTTTTAAAACTAAAAAGGATATATTCTGTATTTTCCACAGTTGTTTTCCTTCCTATTGTTGTTCAGTTCCTCTGATAGTGGAGGCAACCCAGGAAAGCAAAGCTATGGAGGCCTTTGGCAAATGGAGAAGATAAGCTCTACCTTGCCTGGAATTCTCAACTGAGCCTTTCTGGTTCCCATCTCCACCTCCAGTCCATGTCTTTTCTTCCCGATTTCTTTCTTTGCAGAAGCTCTGGTTTTGGATGTGCAGGCTAATCACCTTTAATTTTTCATTTGCTTGTTACAGATGTCTATCTCGTTGCTCTCAAGGTAATCTAGACAGAGGCAGCTGAAAAGCTCTGCATCTTATGCCTTAGACATCAAAGCAGGCTCTCGCAATGAAAGCATTTCTTCGCAACGGTGAATCTTCATGGTGAGTTAAGATTTCTATAGCAGTAGGCAAGTCATACTTTAAAAGCTTGAAAAGAGAAGTCTGGAGCTCCTCTAGCCTTTTCACAAGAAGGACATAATATTTAGGTCTAAGAGATTCTTCCTGCCATCACCCACCCCCAGCCTCTGATTTTCTAACAGTCCTCCCCAGCTGGCCCAACTTGGTCTTTATTGATTTTGTTTGAGCTTCCAGTCCAGTGCATGTGTGTGTGTGTATGTATGTATCAGAGAGTGTGAGTGTATACATCTATTTTTACCTCTACCTTTTTCTCAATCCTTTGTGTGTTTGTGATGGACATGGAATTTCCTCTCCTGTCCGACCTTTCCGGACCTTTCCAGGGCAAGGAAAACCCCACGCGAATGGGAGGCCTTGTTCCAACCCCATATTCAGAATGGATAAGAATGTCAGAAAGAAAAATGGGCCTGCTTGAATCACAGCCCGTCACTTCACTTTTGTTTCCCTTCTTCTGGGCCCTGATCAGAGACGGCCTTTGGGATTTGATGGCAACTTTTCTAAAGGCGAGGAAATGGGTTTGAAGGAGAGGGAAGAAAAGGAGAAAGGTCTAATCAAGACCGGCCTTGTTCAAAGGCTCTGATTTTAGGAGGGGGGGGCGGGGGGTGGAGTGATGATGGGGGCTGCAGGGGTGGAAAGTGTGAGCTTTATGGTGCATCAACATGCCACGTTAGGATCGCTATGGTAATGAGCAGTGCAAAAGCAGGCACCCTTGAAAGGAAGGCACACTTCATTCGAGACAGTCTATTAAGACACATTTGTGCTGACCTCTGGTTTTCATGCTAGCTTAATGCATTCAATCGGCTCTTCCTCCATCTCGTCCCCTTCAGCTTGCCAGACCGGCTTGCCCTCTCGAAGGAAAGCCTTTGTGGCAGAATCTTGGGCCACTGTGATTAAGAGAAATGGGGAGGAGGAGGGAGCTATCGAAGAGTTATCAATATTAGTAGATGGAACCTTTGCAGCTGTAGAATGTGGTGGCATTATCACTATAGAGGTTGGTGGCATTATCTCCAAGGCAAGGCATTTTAAGATCAGGAATACAGCTCTCTGAAAACAGCTTTAAAGCAACCCCCCCAGGGTCAAAAAAGAAGAAGAAGACGACTGTTGCCAGCAAGTCAAGTCTGGGACAGTTTCAATACGGAGCAGGAATTTTATTCTTTAGTAAGCTCACATATAGTTCTGCTCCTTTATCCCCCTTTTTAAAATCCCTTTCCAAGTATCTTCCCATCAGTCCTGATAATGTTTATTGTTTTTGGCCATGGAAGTAGGAGATTTGATTGCTTTGTCTGGTCAATGATACAGGAATATTGGTCTTTTTCCATATTTAAATACTCTATCCCTTAAATTGTTTGGGGTTCCATTCTGTTTATTAGTGAGAATTTTCTTTTTTAAAAAGAAGATGAGTCATCCCTAAATGAATATACTAATACAGCTATATATTCCGTAGACCACTGTGTATCACTATATAGCTCTACTATGTTGAAGCAAAAGTTAAAACAGAAAGAGATGGCTCTTTGTTTAGTTTTACCAATAAAGGCTGTGTGATCTTTAGAATGCCTGGCATTTTTTTTTTCCTTGAAAGAAGCAAGTAAACAAGTCATAAATCACAGAGGTGGTTTTAAAAAAGGAGTCCTATTTTGCCAGGCTCCAGAACTTGACATTGCCAAGTCTGAGGCCATGGCAGTGGGTATATGATCCCAAGAAAGTTAGAAGTCCATGTTCCGGTAATTGTCTCAGTGTTTATTTTATCCAAGTACTCCAATGAATAGGGGAAAAATAAACACACTGGGAGGAGGGATACAAACAGTTGAGTCGTCTTTAGTGCTAGCCCTTGTGGCTGAATAAAAAAGGATGGTCCAATTGCTATTGAACTGAGAAATCTTTGAAGTGGGAAGTTATTATCTGAGAAATTCCTTTTCGTCGTCCTAACAACGCTTATGAAACGTAAAAAGGTCCTTTGTCAGCGATTTGTTCTCCCCTCTGTCAAAGTCCCTCTGCCCCGTTAGCTGGGACCGTTTCTAAAGAGATGAATCCAACCTTCTTTTAAAGATAACGTTGAGATGGAGACAGAAGACGTCCTCACACACAATCAAATACCCATGTCCGGCTAGTTCTGTCTGCCACTCTGTAGGTGGAAGGATCATGTGGCTCAAGGGTGTGGAAGATGGAAGGAGGGGGACAAATACTCCCCATTTCTCTCACACACACTGAACAACACATTCTTTTCCATTTCAGAACTAGTTATTTATATGAATGGCCTCTGTTCTCTGCCCACTATTTAAATTTTGGTGAACAACTCTAGTAATTAGATCTGTGACTTTTTCTACCATTTCATTAGACTAGTGTAATAGCTCATACACTTTTTTTTTTTTTTACACAGGCTGCCTCTTGGATAATGCTATAAATTCTGGCCAGAAGAACACTTTTTAACAACACCTCACTAAAAATAGCCATTTGCCTTCCAAGCAAAGGCTTTCATAATTTGCAGTATTTTATAGTCAAGCAGTAGAGAAAAAAAAGTTTCATCTGGACTCCACTTGGCGTGCACTCCACAGCTGAGAAAAGCAGCAACAGACTGATTACCTTATTGACAATTGATACTTATCTGTGAGCCAAAATTCAACAAACAAATTCATGCATTGCACATTTGGTAATTTGTATTTACCAAAAGCATTCTTGAGACTTTGGTTTTAAGACTTTGCATTTTAAGACTTTGATTCCATCCTGGTCCAATGAACCAAACTATGAGCTTAGTAGCCTTGCTGGATTTGTGCCAGACCAAGAGCTGAACTATAAGGAAAGGATTAACTGGTGCATATGAATTAAAAGATGTTTGGTTTTGCGTTATGGATGCACTTGGGAACTGTAATTCACAAGCAACCCACCACAGAATTTAGTGAAGCTGACAGCTCTCGGATGCCAGCCATTTGTTCCACAATCCCAAATCATAAATGGAGAGAATAAGACTGACTAAAATTGATTTCTTCATTTTCAGCAGTTAGGCATTTCTGTGGGACTCTAGTTTGCACCCTTAACAATAACAACAATAACAACCCAACATGCTTCTAGTTAAACAAAAGACATTTACTTGAGTAAAAATGTGAAGGACTAAGGTAATCTGTATTATCCAAACTTGGAAATAGGAATATATATATGGCACATATTAAAAACTTTTCATCAAAAATAGGAAAAGCTGCAAAAGCAGCGAGGAGATCTCAATCCATGTGCTAATTTCAACCCTTCTATAAACCCAGATTGCTTCAAAAGCTTGGGCTTTCTGCATTTGAAAGCAAGAGTATTTATTCAAGTTCTGTGTGATGCCATTTTTCTTTTCTTTATTATTACTTGTAATAGTACTCTTACTTTATTTCAGTACTACATTTTAAGAACTTTATCACTTTATCTCATCTTCCTTCCTCTCCCTTTTGCTAGAATGGACCACTTCTGTAAGTATGCCTTTGTTGGTTTATTTCTATACTCTACTCCATCACTTTTAAAGATGATGCCTGCGACCTGATACACCCTTATCTGGATGGATGTAAAGGCCACTGGATTCAATGGAGCTCCTTTTTCAAAAGACGTTAGAGAAATATGCCTTAACACTATAATAATGCCCCACACTAAACGTCTAACACTGTAAGGATGTATGTTTTGTACTAGGTGTGAAATATAGGTAGTGAAAAGTCTGTTTTGGCCTAGAATCGATGTAATGAATGTTTAAAATAAAAACAAATGTTAGACGAAAATGTAATTTACAGTCAATCTATAAGGTTTTTGTACTTTTAAAATATAACAAAATAAACCCCGCATGAGAAAAAGATAACTTGCTTCCTGGTTACTTAATTTATATTTACTTCTTTCTTTTCCATTCCAATTTTTTTTAAACAAGTGAAATTCAGTAGAAACGTTCGTCTCAAAATTAGGAAGGTTGAGCAAGAAGCTCCGCTTTTCACAGAAAGGCTTCGCTTAAAACTCTTACAAAAAATCCTGTCCCTAAAGTACAGGGCTGAGCTGAGTGAGAATTAAGCCACATACATTAATGCAAAGAATCAATCACGGCTCTTATTACATCACTCCCGCATTCGCACACACGAGGCTCTAAGCGGATCTGTGAAACCTCGTCTCGCGGCTGCTCCGACCCCCCCCTCATTCCGCTGCGCATGCGCGATGACTGGCCGAGAACTTCAAAGGCGTTGCTTTTCAGCGGCTCGCCCCTTGGCTTTTTCCTGCTCAGAAATGCTACTTGTGTAAGGTTAGAGCGAGTCCCCTCGAAATCAGCAGGATTTACTCCACGGGAGGCATATCCGGGATCAGACTGCTTCGCTTTACCGGGCTTACATAAAAGGAAGTCCTACTAAAATCATAATGGATGCGGGGGGGGGGGGGATTGATGGGGGAAGGGGGGGGAGGAAGACGAGCGAGCAGGCTTGTTACAATCGACAGGTGCTTTCTTGGTAAATGGGGGGGTGGGTGGGCTGCCTACTTCATCTGTGGTTCTCGCTGTCTGTTTTCTTCACGTCTTTGGTTAACTTTAGCCTCTCCAGAGAAACACAGCCGGCGACCGTCCGGATCCCAGGAGATCCAGGTCATTGGGGAAGGAGCTCACGGGAGGGATAGTGATAAAGGGGAGAAGGCAGACTGTTCCGTCCCAAGTCAGTTCGACGGGTAAGAAGCGTGAGTGACAAAGGGTTTTTCAACCTCACCCAACTCCATGGAGAGGTTTTCTCTCGACCCCTCCCTCCCCCCCAGGCTGTGGTCAGCTAGCCAGAGAGGATCCTGTGAGTAGCAGGGCAAGAGGCGTGTGGACATTCTTCCCTGGTCTTTCAATAGACCCGGCGGCCTTTTCTTTCTTTCAATGAAGGCAACTCATTTCCTCTCCTGTTGCTTTCCTGCCTCGGTCCCCGCGCGCAAGCCCCTGCATTGTGCGAATGCATTCATTAAGGACCATTCTTTCCCCACCCCCCACCCCCACAAAGTCCAATTGTATCTTTAGGAAATGAAGATTAGGAATATATAAATATATAAATTAAATATAAATTTCACATACATACATACATACATATATATTTCAACTCATGCACATTGTAGTTGGGGCCGGCGGGCGGGAATCCCAGCAGAAGAATGAGCTGGCGGGCTCTTAGCCTCTCTCTCTCTCTCTCCCGCCCTTTTTTTTAAATTATTATTTGATTTATATGCCGCCCTTCTCCGGAGACTCAGGGCGGCTTACAATGCGTTAAACAATAGCCTTCATACTTTTGTATATTTATACAAAGTCAGCTTATTGCCCCCACAACTGGGTCCTCATTTTACCTACCTTAGAAAGGATGGAAGGCTGAGTCAACCTTGAGCCTGGTAAGATTCGAACCTGCAGAAATTGCAGGCAGCTGTGTTAATTACAGGGTGCATTAAACCACTGTACTACCAAGGCCTTCACTCTCTCCAGTGGATGGGTGATTCTGGACATGCGGCCTTCTGGCCCTTTGCGTGGGAAGGTTAGAGGGCAACGCCTGTCCTCAGTTGAGTGCAGCGCTTCAAGTCGCAGGCCGGTTGGCTTTCAACCCACAGAACCACCGATCCCGTCCGGATTTAAAGCCTGGCATCACCTCCTAAACCGAGGAAAGGCTCTTTGCTGCCGGAGTCACGCTTATTCCGAAGTGACCTTAAAATCGCCAAGACGTGGAAAGGAACGAGGAAAGATAAGCAGAAAGGCAGATTAAAAAAGTAACACTTATGCAAAAAAAGACTGAGTTGATTAAAGGACCCCAAAGGAGAAAGGGATGAAAAAAGATCTACTTCGGAGTAAATGGGAGGAATAGTTTTTTTTTCCTTCCTTACCTCCCACTCGTTTCATGGTTACATACCACCCAACATGATCTGCGTTTCAATGCACTCCAAAGGAAGAATGGAATGAACTGCCAATACCGTAATAATGTAATAATATATGAAAAACAGGCTACAGTTTGGGTCCATTGATACATGGAAAGCCTACATAAAATTGTCTACTGCCATTTCAGAGTCATAGCCAACATCATAAAGAAGGGAAGCTGTACTAGAAATTAATAGGACCCAAATCAGGAATTCTGAAATAAATCTTAAAATGTCTTCACCAAAATCTTGATTTGTTTTGTCACACACACACACACGCACACGCACACACAATAAAACAACTGATTAATATCAGCTCAGGTTACTTAAGTTATTTTTGGTTTCTTTGTACTCACATAGATGTAGGCTATCTCCCTTGAATTTATTTTCTAAATTTAGATGAAATTGAATTAAGCACATAAATGCCTTTAATTCACATTTTTCCATTCAGCCTAAAAAAACCTTTTTTAGGTTTTGAAGATGACAATGGATTGCTACTTAAAATGGAATATTAAAATGTGTTCTTTTCCAAAAGCATTGATAGACCACGTGGGGTTTTTTAAAACCCTAATAATTTTTAAACTCAGGGTGGTTTAACTGTTTTATCAAAAGGACAATTATTGCAATTACTGAAATTTCCCATACACTTACAAGAACTACATGGAGACCAAATAAAATTTGGTAGTCCAGGTACCTTGTTATATTTCAAAGGTTGGTTTTTAAAAAAACATCTATATTAGTAATGTTTTGCTTTCACTGACAGATCTATTCAAAGTTCAGTTTCTTCCATTGTGAATTAACCTTTGAACCTTGGTTAAATCTTCAACAAATCTTATATAGCTAGCTTTCAAAATGCAATTTTAATAAATTCTAATCAGACTATTTCTTGAAAACTGCTACTAATATTTTAGTCAAACAAACTTTTATTTAGCAACAAAGAAATAACCCCTTCAATATTTCAAAATGCCACAGATCTTAGTAGGCATTTATCAGGAAAGATCTTCAAAAATGTGTTTCAAGTTATAATAAGTGGTATTTTCTTTCATTTCTTTCAGTCAAGACACATCATTAATTCAACATGTTCACCCCAGTCCCAAACCTGACATTTCTTTAAGATATATAAGGCTGCAGTCCTTAATATACTTACTAGAGAGAAATTCCTGTTGGTCTTAATGGCATTTATTTTAGAATAAGCCTACATGAAATTTATGCAGTGGAAGACATATATCTGATGATATAGCACTTTTCTCTGTAACTTTCTCCAAGAACGCAATACATAAGCAAGTTAAGCAAAGAATATCACTGGACTTAAGCCTTCATTTCCAGGAAAGATCAGTTGGGTTAAATTCAGATCATCATTCTTAGATAGCATAGTTAAATTAAAAGCTAAGAACTATTCTTCATTGAAAATTTTCCTTACCAGAGTGAAGAAACCCAAATTATTCCATTCCACACAAAATCAATTACTCTGGAGTATTTATCTTGCTTTATTGGCTTAGAATGAATCTGTGTAAAGACAACTGAAAATATACTTTGGAATTCTATTGAAATGTAAAATTTGTATTTTTGCTTAGCATTTAACAATAACATTTTCTTCCTTTGAAGGAACTGTTATTGTAAACAAGAATATGGTAGCACACTGATAAATTTGATCTCAACTGCAAATAAATGTATTTCTCCTATATCTGAGTCTGCTCTGGGGAAGAATGGTGGTAAGCCAGTCACACTGATAAGAAAGAAAGAATCAGGGTGTTTTTTTTTCCTTGTCCAGGAAGTGGATCAACCTAAAAAGAGGGAAAACAGTTTAAAAATTTCAGACACCCTTTTAGTGTGAAATATCATTTCATTGTATGAAGTTAAAAAGAGGGTCGATAATCCAACTTCCGGAAAGCATTCTGAATTATTTCAGCAGACTCTTTTAAAGGGGATTAGCAAGGCTTTAGGCCTTCTGTTTTATTCAATCTCTGATTTTATGTTATAATTACGAGATGTAAAGCCTCTTGAATTAGTATGCAGCCGAAGTCCAGACATTATGCAGGTGCTATTCTAATCATTCAGCTTTTAATTAAGGGACGAGGTAAGAAAACAGAATAATAAAAACACTTTTGTGAGAGCTGAGAAAATCGTGAGCGACTGCATGAATGAAGCTTTTATACCTTCTCCTGACAGGTCAGACACCAATTGCCTGACTTACGACCTTTTCTTGGTGAAACAAGGCTGAACAGCTTTCTCACCTTGTTCCCATTATATGGCTTTTATATTCTTGGAGAACTTATGGAAATGCCAGAAAGATTCTTGCTGAAATTAGAGGGTGGGGGAAGAGAGTAGCCATAGATATTTCCATAATAAAGGATAGTAGTTTATAAGAAATTACTTCCTCTCTGAATGTTCACAAATGGGTGGCCAGCGTGTGTATAACTTGATGGCCACATACGTTCATTATTTGTCTTCTTAAGAGTTTTTCTAGGTAACCCTGTCAGAAGGCATGAGGATGGGAGGGAGAGAGAGAAGGGAAGGGTAATTGCCATGGAATTAGCATTTGTGGTGGAGTGTTCGAGGCAGGTCTTTAGCAGTTTTGCATATCCCATAACTGTAAATTATGGAATGGAAGTAACGTCAATGCCACTGAATTTAGGTAACTCTGCAGAAGGTTGCAGCATGCCATCCCCTCTGAAATTTACTCTTAAAACAGGCCAATCTGTCCACCTTTTGAACAAAAGATTATTAGACTACAGTTTTAACTATGTTTACTTATTCACAAGTTAGTTCTTTTGCAATGGTTGAATCTGCTTTTTGAACCAATTCAACCTTATGCCTGTTTATTCAAAAGGTAAATTTGGAACCTTTGTCCAGGACCTTGAAAATTCATTGTTTTGTGGTTTCCTTGCTGGACCACAGGCTTGCCTAAAGATCATTAATAGGGGCAGAGCACAGACAAAATAGTCACTGTGCCCAGGATCAGGATTCAAAAATATTTTTGCTGTGCCTGTGGCTTCAAAATGCAGGGCTTCATTAGATCTATTTGAAGTGACTAGCTAAACAAATGTTTTTTTTTTTTCTCCTTCTACAAGCCTCATTTTTTTTTATTCAGCCTTTGGACTGGTAAATGCTGGAAAAAGAAGTTCCCCAATCAGTTTTCAATCAGATGCAATTCCTGGATGGGTAGCCCTTCCTGTCTTTTGCAACAAATACAGCAAGCTAAATGAAACCCAGAAAGGACACTGAGTCAGGTGCCTTAACAGCAAATGAATGGCACTAATTCCAGTTTTATGCTTTGAGAGCATAATTTAATCTTTGTATTATAAACAACAGATCTGACTTTTTGTTAGCTATTTATGTCTAAGCTGATGCCCAGGCATAATTTCTAACCCTTAGAAATTAGGTAACCAAATTGACAATCCTTTGTATTCTTGTAATACCCTGAGAATAAACTTATTTGAATTCAGTGGGGCTTACTATTAATTTATTGGCAAACAACAACAACAATCATTCTGCCCAACTCACAGCCTGAGCTGCTTCACAGCTAGTCCAAAGATGGCTAACTAAAAGCCTAGTTTTCTACTTGTCCACTCAGAAATAAGTCCCATTGTATTGAGTGGGACATTCTTCCAGATTCTGGTATTTGCCTGATAAAGGGCCCATAGGATTGCAAGCTCTCTATCCCCATAACAATGGTAGATACCTCCCTTGCTTTGCAGACATCAGAGAAAAACCTTGATATTATAAGAATGTGTTGTCAATAATTTAAATGAACCTTTGCTATTCCAGTTTGCAAACTAGGCTGTATGTACAGAGTTGTTTGTTTCTCTTTCCAATTTATTATCAGATTGACCCAAGTACAGTTTATGTCTCCATCCATCCATCTCCTTTGAACCTGACTTTCATGAACATTGGGATTCACAGGTAAATTTGTAATTTGATTATTTGTGTTAACCTTTTTTTTTTTTTTGAAGCTAGGTGTGCATATGCATATGTGTATATGTGCAGGTCTAAATTCTTCAGGTCAAAATAATCTATCCCCATTTGTATGCCAACTGGTTCTACAGTAGTGGCCAAAATTGTGGAAACCTTTTGGGAAAAGTATATTTTTGAGGTTTGATGGCTAATAACACTTTTTTGGGGGAGTAGTACCATAAAATTATATATCAATGGAAAGATAATTTAATCAAGGATGTAATGCTTTTCAACCTTTGTTTGAAAGATAAAAGTGGCTTTTTTCGTAGAATTCTACATTTTAGGCCAAATTCCTGCAGTCTGCACCGAACAGTCCTTGTACTCAACTTCACACTGCATTGCGCCATTTCATCTTGCATACACCGAGATTATTTTCTTCTGTCACTTATGCACAGTCTCTTAATTCTTCTATCATCACTTGCTATTGTGCACCTTTTCCTGCCTTTACCAGTGTAGTTTTGTAGTGACTGAGTCTCCTTATACCTCTTCAAAAACTTAGAAATGCCACCTTTGGTTAAGTTTCCACCAATTTTTCTTCTAATTTCTTTATAACTGTAGCCTTGTTCACTTAATAATACTATTTTACATCACTTTCTGGGTGACCAGTCAACTCTTTACACCATTACTTTAATTTTATTACATTTTACAAGCTCACTATATGAAAGAACACAAACAAACTCCAACCAATTTGATAGTCTAAGACATAACACACTGGCAAATGTCCTCCTCTTAACTTCAATACATGACATCAATAACTGAATCCTACTGTGATCTGATTGGCTCATTGCCAAAACAAGATGACACCTGATTGGCTCTCTAAACACTCATGCTCATTGGCTACAATCAGATGAAGGAAAACTACCTGATATCAACCCAAGCAAGTTGTGCTTCCTTTTTCTGGTTATTTGGCTATAACCTTTCATAGACTACAGATAATTGAACAAACTTTATTGCATTACATTCTTGATTAAATTATCTTTCCATTGATATATAATTTTATGGGACTTCTAAAAAAAAGTGGCATTATTAACAGAGATGGGATTCAGCTGGTTCTGTTCGGTTTGGGAAAACCGGTAGTGGCAACTGCAGAAGGCTCCGCCCACCCGCCCTCACGTAATGCGACACCTCTGCATATCGTGTCATTCAGCAGGGTAAGTGAATCCCACCTCTGGTTATTAGCCATCAAACCTAAAAAATACACTTTCCCCAAAAGGTTTCCACAATTTTGGCCACAACTGTATTTGTACATAAATAAGGAAAGGGGTGTTTGTCTATTACATTGCAAATGGGAGATCAGGAGCAGGTTGAGGATTGGCTGGGCTTTGGAGCACTGGATGCAAATATAGGAGCCACTGAAGGAAGAGGGATCTTTTGTAGTTGACTTTCTTTATCCAAATACAAAACTCTCTCTCTCTCCTGCATGTATCTTTCATTTCATCCCCTCCTCCTCCACCCCCCCCTTTCACAGCTTTGCTCAGTGGCTGTAAATGAATCAATTCGGACTGCTGGGGGACTCCCCACTTCTCCAGAAGACAATGCCAAGTATTAGGATATCAGACCCACTCAAAATGATCACACATTCAATGATTTTACTTTTCACGGATGAAGAGTCCTGGTTTTTCTTTTCCTCCCCCACCCATCACCCCCTGCCCCTCTTTTTCCTTCCCATGTAAATCAAGACCCTTCCTTATTAAGGCCTAGCACTAATCTCCAACAACCTTCACATAATGTGGCACACCACTTCGCACCTGCATTCTGAATAGAGGGGGCTTTTCAATGGAAGACACGCTTGTTGGCCTTGCTCCTCAAAGAAGTTGTCTGAATAAGTCAAGGTCCTTGAATGCCCAGCCTTGTTTTCTCTTGCTCTCCTTTGATCAGGGAAAAATAGCTCCTAATTTGTCCCTTTTTTCGTTGTAACATCATTTTGAAGTCTCTTTCTTTTTCTTTTTGCTTTACTCTCTTTTTAAGCAGGAAAAGTTACCCCAAAATGAAGCACCTCACCTCCTTCGGCTGAAAGACAACAGAGACAATATACAAACATCATTTGCTTAATGTAGGAAACAGGTTTGCCACTTTGGGGGTGCCAGTGCATTCCAGATATTTGTAAGTCTCACATCTTTATCAAGTATCCACCTGTTTTTCCATTTGTAAACTTGTTTTTCAGAGGAAAGTGGTAATACCCATTTTCACAATTTTCAAGCAGAAGAAAAACCAAATTCTGGGCATCAACCCAAATTCATTGTATTAAAATAAAACAGTCAAAGACTAACTGATGCAGCTGGATATTTATAGCATTCTTACAGGCAAATACATCCTTTTTTAAAAAAAAATGTGTGTGATAGAAAAGTATGTGAGGCACAAAAGTGCTTTGTTTAATTCTAGAAATCTAATCAATTACAGCAAATTATTCTGTGCAACACTAAAATTGCCAAAGCAGTCACTCTTTCTAAGAGTAAACCCTACTGACCTTGATCTACTCAGTATTCTAGGATTGCCCTGAGAAACTTCTATTAAAAAGAAAGGATGGAGGAAAAAGAAAAACAATGAAAAAGAAGCACTTTTGTTAGAGCTAGGTCCTATTTACACACACATCTGAGTAAATTTAGCTGGATTTCATGGGTCTAATTTTTAAGTAAACCTTCCCATTTTGAATACAAATGACACAATTTCTCTATAACCATGCAGAGGCTTTGACAATGCAATGTAATGGTAACCATCTGAATGCATGTTCTTTCTAAAAAAACATGAATTGTGTGAGCATTCCTAAGTTCATTGCCTTGTTGATATTTGTGCAGCTGTGCTGGCAGCAATAATGCAGTAGCAACATTATTCATCCTACATAGCCAGGATAATTTAGTTTACTTATTGCAGCTATTATTAGATTGTCTTTCAATTATATTGATTCCTCCAATGAGCTCAGAGTTAAATTTGAATAGGATACACAGAACAATAACACAATCAAACAGTACAGGACAATGGAATAGTGAAGAAACAATAACAGATATTAAATTTGTTAAAAAAACAGACAGTTTTATCAGAGTGAGCTGCACTGAATCCAAAGGGACTGTACATCCAAATGAATATGCATATGTTTCACCTAAAATGTTATATGTGTAGGATTATGGGAAGACAAACCCTTGCTTTCAATAGTCCAGAATGTATGGTTCTGTGAAGGCTCAGTGTGCACTTGTCTCCTGCAGGAGCTGCACTGGCTGTTGATTTGCTTCCAGGTCCAATTCAAAGTGCTGGTTTTTACCTTCAAAGCCCTACATGGCTTGGGACCTAGTTACTCGAAGGACCATCTTTTCCTGGTCTACCTGACCTACCAGAACAGAGGAGGCAGGGAATGCGACTGGTCTCCTCTCCAAAAGAGGTCCATCTAGCGGGATCAAGAAGAAGAGCCTTCTCTGGTTCCCTCCCTGTGGAACATCATCCTCATGAAGAGAAGATTGGCCCCCACTTTGACACTCTTTAGCAAGACCTCGATTTGTCAAAGGGCCCGGGGGCTCCAAAGTGGGATGGAGACTATCAAATGGCTCACTTGACACTTGTCGCTGTAGTTGTGGGGATATTAGTTTTAATTGTTTTATACTGAGTTTTTATCTTTGTAAGCCACCAGCAATCGCTGAGAGAGTTAGGTGGCCATATAATTTTTCAGAATAGAATAGAATAGAATAGAATAGAATAGAATAGAATAGAATAGGAATAGAATAGAATAGAATAGAATAGAATAGAATAGATAGAATAGAATAGAATAGAATAGAATAGAATAGAATAGAATAGAATTTTTTATTGGCCAAGTGTGATTAGACACACAAGGAATAAACAAACAAAAAAATTTGTCCCTAATAGGAAATGAGAAGTGCAGTATCTAATTTTAAATAAGCGAAGAAACACTCTAAATATTAATACCCAGACAGAAAGGGAAACTGTTCTTAGAATTTAAATAAATAAATTTGGTCCAAAGTAAATAGGATACTTCTTTCAAAAGATAAATTTTTGCACTGAGGCAGGTTGTTAGATTTTCCCTGCTGGAGGGGAAATCTTGAAAGTTGAAAGTCTTACCACTCTTGTGGAAATACAGACTTACAGTTTTAACAGCCAGCATTTACCTCTGTGTCAAGTGTTATGATTCCAGAATGAAAGCAACTACACCTTTCAAGATGTTTCAGGTTGAGAATGAACAAGATGCCCTCCCATGTAATATCCATTTCAAGAAGTCCAAAGGAAATGTTTCACCAGTGATTCCGCATTGGAGTTGCAATCAGTTCTAGCACTTAACAATTGTACTTGTGTGCCATACTTACTTATATGAAACAAACTGTTGCATTCACACTTTGCAACTCACCAATTACAAGATGTGGATATTAACTGCAATTGGATCGGTTTCCAATTACAACACTATTTGGTGTTTTTATTCTGTAGAGACATCTTATGGAATATAATTATTCAAATACAACTGAATTCTTTCTGAGAGGGTCAATCCTTCAGAAGCATTGCTATAAAACACAAAAGTACTCACAATAAAAGTCCCCCTCTTAAAACACCTTAAAATATATCATTCTTTTTCTTTTTCTTTTTTTTTTGTGTGTGTGGTTTAGATCTTGCCTAAAATTACCAACCAAACGTAACCATATTTTATGCTGGGCAGATCACCTATAGGAAGTCTGATGAACAAGAAATTCTGACTCACTGTTGCACCAGGCATTTGCAACCCAACTTTTTCAGCCATGCCTCCTGCATCTAAGTTGTTCAACTATCCTACTTCCCAGACAGCATTACAAGATTGGCTATTGTATGAGCCGTCCCATAAGGAGGGCACCAAATTAACCAGTGGTGATCTAACTCCTACAAACCTTTTTCAGCCTCTCTGGTTACAACGGAAGGACACTGTGCAAGGCTAGAATCAGTGGGACAAAACCACATCAGTGTTTTGTTGTTTTGTTAACCAAGCAACCCCCCTGGATTCTTTTATCACATTGCCATTTTTGTCCGTGGGTGCATTAAAAAGCACTAACCACTCATTTTAGATTTAGACATTTTACTAATCAGTTAGGGAATTCATGTACTTCAAAGCCTTGGACAACTAATGCATTGGGGTCACTTGACAGGTTGTGAATCTTCAGTTTTGTTGTTTTGTTTTTAATAAAAAGCTGCTCCCCATTCCCTCTCTGAACATCAAATGGTTATTTTCTGACATTACGGAAAGCTTGGGCTAACAGAAAACGAAGATCTAGCCCAGCCGTCTTCCCCGCCCCTGCCAATACAGTTTAAAGCACTTTGATGTCTTGCCAAGAAATACACTTCTTTCAAAGAGGCATGTCAACATTTGTTTTCCCATTAAATGGCATTTAGTTGCCAGTAGAAGAAGGGGGGGGGGGAAATGACGCGAAATGGCCACTTTTTAATTCGATGTATAACAACCGCGGGGGTCTAAGAGAAAATCAGGGCGAAAGCGGTAGACACAAATAACTAAATTACCAAAACGTTGGAATATCTGCGAGATTCATTAATATGTAACAGACTCCCCAGTTAATCTCCAAAAGCCAGTGTTCCCCCTCTAAAATAGCACTCTGGGACGAATTGTACAGGAGATCAATCACTGCTAATGCAAGAAGGTTTACTGCAAGGGTGCGGGGGGGGGGGGGTTGCGAGGGGAGAAGCTATTTACACCTTCAAATAGAAGCTTTTGAGATTTAAGAGTCAGGGTCATACATCACCAAGAATAAATGATTATGAATTGGTAAACGCGCCCTCCAGCCATTAGCTCTGCCACGCGATTTATCATTTCGGGGTGCTCCTTCACTCCGCCTCCCTGACTTTTCAAAATCGTCGCGCTGTTTGGAAAAGGAAAGCATGGCGGTTTGGGGTGTGTGTGTGTGTGTATGTGTGTTTTAAAGGTCACAGAGGGAAAGTTTGTGTTTGCATACACCATAAGTCATCTGAACACCGGCCAGTCAAAAAGAAGCAGCAAGGCCACTTCTGGAGTTGCACGCGGGATACAACGCCGCCTTTGCACCGTTCACGAGCTATTGGTCGGCCCGGCGGAGCTGACACGAGGCAGCGTCCGGAGGACTCCCTTTCTTAGCGGAGGAAAACTTGGGCGGAAGAGACCAGATCCAATGGGAAAGGATCGGCCAGCCGCGCCGGAGGAACGAAGAGCATCCTTGGACTCGGCGCTTCAGGCAAGGGGCTGCGCTGCTCGGGACAAGAAGCGAGGAAATCCCTCTGGGTTGAAGCCCTCTTCCATTTCTTAGGCCAGATTCCGATTCGTGCCTCGCCTTGCCAGGCTGCTGCGGGCGTAGTAGCTGAGTGCAGAGTCCGCGAAGCTTTTTTTTTTTTTTTTTTGGTCTCTTGTCTCTGGTGAGGGTACAAGGGTACAACATCAGCTTTTCATAGCTTTGGAATTAGACTACAGCTTCTATCATCCCAGCCAGAATGCAAAACCATGCTGGTTCGGGGTGATGGGAACTGTAGTTCAGCAAGTCTGTTGGAACTGCTTGGGCAAGGATGCTGTAGGAACCAGAAGGAACTGAGATGTGAAGGAAGAAACAGAAATGAAAATTCACTGATGAAATGCTAATCGAAAGAATATACATTACCCTTCTCCACAAAGTAACTCTCAATGGCCACTTTGGACACTACACAACTTGAGCGCCTGGAATACTAGCATTTGTTTATGACAGTTTAGTGGCAGATTGGATTACACACACACACACAGAAAGAGAAGCAGGTTTCCACTCTGAACAGTGATGCCCAATCTCACAAATAAACTCAAAAACCCACGGATATTTTTGTACCTAACGCAAATTATTCAGAACATTGCTCTTTTCACCTCTTGCTGGTCAAACACCAATATATATTCTTTGTCTTTAATCTCAACAAATACAGTATGTTTTTAATTACAATACTTAATCTATATTTGTAAACCGCCTAACAAGCAATCTGCATATGCATAACTGCCCTGTCTTTCTTCCCCCTTTCCCCACCCTTCATCCCAATTTAAATCCTACATTATTTTAATCGCATCCTCCATCTGATGAAGTGAGGTGCAACTCAGGAAAGCTTGAGTCCTTTAATAAAAAATCGTTAGTTGGAAAAGGTGCTAGTAGAATCCAGACATTTCACATAAAGGTGTATTGCTTCAGTTTTTCACAAATCCAATTTCTTCACATTTAATGTTAAAAGAAAAGCCACATTTGTTTTTAAGGAGGCCAGCCATTCTTAGTGCAATGTGGAGGATATGTGTGTGACAACAGGTGTGTAGAAAGAC